CAAGGACCCGAGAGGCCAGTATCCATCAAAATAAGGAGGCTACTTGGGATAATGGTAGGATATAGTGGTAGTGAGTTCATGGTGTGATGCAGCCTGCAGCCCATAGGCTAACACTTTCACTGGATGAGGAGGAATAAAGACAGTGGTGGTTACGCACAAAGATCTTCATTCCAGAAAGCGTGAGATTCCATGCAGTAGTTCATTCGGTTTTTTATGTGTCTGGGTACTTTGTCTGCATGTATGACTGTATCATATACACACAGTGCCTGTGGCAGGCCCTGGAACCATATTTACAGAGAGTTTGTGAGTTGCAATGTGGGTGCTGGGAATTGGACCCAGGTCCTCTGGAAGACCAGCCAGTACTCTTAACCTCTGTGCCATCTCTCCAGCCAAATTCATTCATTCATTAGGGCAGGTTATACAGCATCTCTCATCTATGGAATAAACTCAATGCATGTGTGGTACCCCCCAGGACTGTGGGGAGTCTGGGGGGACAAGGGTCATTGCAAATGTGAAGCTCACTCTGCCTGCAGGAATATAATAGTGACCTTATCCCTGGCCTGGGGAACCAAGGCAGGCTAACTTACTAAGTAAGGCAGGTTAACCCCCCCCTTTGCACCCCCCCATGGCTCTCAGAGGTGAGTTCAGTGCTGAGAATCAAGTATGTGGGGGAGAACAGGTAGAGTGGGTGATCCTAAAGAAGAGTCAGATCATGGGGAGCTGGGTAGAAGATGTCATTCTGCATGTGTGTAGACATACCGAGCTGGCTACGGTCAGGAGGAGGGATCTGAACATGAGGAGTACAAGGAAAACGGTAGCCAGTGAGGAATCCATGTAGTCCCAGAGAAAGATTGTGTGTGGCAAAGATGCTTTGGAAGCGCACAGGAGGGTCAGAGGAAAGGACATCCATTTTGGATAACTGAGGTAGAGATCCCCTGGAGGAAAGCCTCCTGTCCCTCACAAAGGGAGTCTGAGCTAGAAAACCATCCTTTAGGAAACAGGATGTGAACTGTAGTTGAGCCTGACGGAATTCCCAACAGTCAAGGAGACTCTTTGATCTCATACACCAGCATCCTATGGAGGCTTGTAGAGGCCAGAAATATAGGAGTCGTTAGTGAGTTGCCCCAGATGGAAAGTCCCCCAAAGGAACAACGTGTCCTTCATGCTTTCTGTGACAGGCACTCATTTTCCCCCAGGAGAAGATCCTCTGTCATTTATCTAGAAATCTGTGCTCTAGCTGCCAACCAAGCCCATAAAGGGGAACAAAGGAACCATCTCCTCCAGAGGTCAAAGTGAGTCACCAGCACTAATGTTGATTTTGCCCCTTTCGTATCTTCTCCTCGGATCTCATTGCATTGCTTCATCAGAATCCACAACCAAATAGGCTAGCCCAGCCGCCACTCCCTTCTCTTAACTCCTTCTTCTAGATAAGTTAGAAGTTTAGATTTTTTTTTTTTTTTTTAATCATTTTTTATTTTAATTTTAAATAGCTTGTTTCACATGTCAATCCCAGTTCCCTCTCCCTCCCCTCCTCCCGCACTCCCCTTCCACCCTCCCTCCCACCCTATTGCCAAATCCCTCCACATAGGGGATGTCTAGAGTCTATCATTTCACTCTTGGTAGGGTCAAGGCACTCCCCTAAGAGTCCAGGCTGAGAGAGCATCTCTCTTTGTGCCATAGGCACATGAAGACAGATTGTATACCAGGGATAGACACTGATCCACAGCTCAGAGCCCCATAGGTTGCCCAGGCCTTCTCACTGACACTCAGAAGTTTAGATTTTTAAGTTTGTTTTTTTCACATTGCACAAGTTAGATTCAACCTCTGGGCTAGCAGCTCCTTGACTCCAGTTTAACTTGTCTATGGAAGAAGGAATTTGCTTACACCACAGTCTTGTTTGGGGGCTCCATGAGAGCCCTGTGGACAGCTGTACATTGCTATGTAAACAGGGAAATTGGAGGCTTGTGTTTGCCCATTCAGCAGAAGTTCTGATCACTATCCAAGTCCTGTTCTTCTATGCTATACTAAAGCCACATGGCTTTAGAATTAATGGGCCTGCCTGCCCCTTGGGTTTTCTTTCTTTCTTTCTTTCTTTTTTTTTGTTTTTTTTTTGTTTTTTTTGTTTGTTTGTTTGTTTTTCGAGACAGGGTTTCTCTGTGGCTTTGGAGGCTGTCCTGGAACTCACTTGGTAGTCCAGGCTGGTCTCGAACTCACAGAGATCCGCCTGCCTCTGCCTCCCGAGTGCTGGGATTAAAGGCGCGCCACCAACGCCCGGCTTTGGGTTTTCAAGTTGTGTAGTGTATGTGAACAAAGCCATTGTCTGAGAAATAAGGCCTGTTTCTGATCTATAAAGGGGACTTTGCCTGTGGTATGCGCCACGTCATGAAGTAGGCAAGCCATGCCTTTTGATACCCAGCCTCCTGTGATTGCTTCCTCCATACCACCTGACTTCTCTTTCGATACCTGCATGCTCAGTTACTCTATGCTTTCCTCACAACCCCAGTAGCAATGATAAGGAAAGGCTTTTGTCCAAAGGAAACTCCCAGGATGGTATGCAGTATCATCCTGATACACTGAGGCTTAGGCACCACCCTGATATATTGATGCTTAGGTGCCATCCTGAAATAGTGATGCATAGGTACCATCCTGAAATATTGATGATTAGGTACCATCCTGAAATACTGATGCATACCTGCCATCCTGAAATACGGATGCGTAGGTACCACCCTGATATATTGATGCTTAACTGAAAGCACCTGGAAATCTGAAAAATAGACATTCCAGAATCCAAGTGACAGGAAAGGGCAAGTTCTCATGAAATGCTACTTTCCCATGATTGGGTAACATTGTATTACTGATGGTGCTATGAATTCAAAAATAGATTATTTACTTTATTATTTTATGTATATGAGTGTTTTGCAAGCGTGTGTGTGTATGTATGTGCCTGGTGACCATGAAGGTCAGAAGAGGGTATCAGATCCTCTGGGACTGAAGTTACAGACAGTTGTGAACTGCCTGCTGTATGGGTGCTAGGGTCCAAATCCAGGTCCTCTGCAGGGCAGCCAATGCTCCTCACCACTGAGACACAACTCCAGCCTCCCTACGAGTTTCTAAAAGCTAATTGTTATTCATACTTGTCTCCATATGCCCTGATTTGACTGTTTTCTCTTCCTTTGGTCTTCAGTGTGTTTTGAACTTTGTCTAGTCAATCATTAAACACGAGCTGGTCAGGTACAAATTGCCATGCGTTATGCAGAACCCATACAAAGCATTGGACAGGATCAAAGGAGGCAAGGCATGCATGTGCTACCATGTAGGATGCTTATCTAAAAAGGAACTTTGATCTCCTGCAAAAGAGCTTTCAAATACAAGATAAAGCAAGCATCCTAAACTACTTTAGTTATATAGAATGAAGGAAGGAGTGAAGAGTAGGGTTTTTCTGGGAAGCCCTGGCTGTCCTGGAACTCACATTGTAGACCAGGCTGGCCTTGAACTCACTGTGATCTGCCTGCCTCTGCCTCCCAAGTGCTGGGATTAAAGGTATGTGCCACCACTGCCTGTCATATTTATCTAATTTTTAAATGTAACAAAATGTAGCGTTGGAGTTCCATGCATGTCTTGAGACTTTTTAAAGTAAAACTTAATATGTATAATAAAGCTTCAGATCTCATGTACACAAGGTTTCTGAGAGAGACATACATACTGATTGACATAAACGTTGCAAAAATGTAGTAACAGTTTCTTTCACTGAATTCTCATTCCTGAGTGAAAGAATCGAATGTGGCCTTACCTGGCCAGCTAGAGAAAGCCACAGCTCACAAAGAGTACTAAGAGCTCATAAAGACTATTGACATTTAAATACTCTTCATATTCAAATGACAACATAGTACACATTCATCCCCTCTTCCTTCTGAAGATTTATGCAGAGAATTTATACACATCATGGGTTTTTTTGTTATCACCAGCTTCTCTAAATAATACATGACTTCCAGTAAAGTCATCACAATAAGGAGGGCCTGAGGCCTCTTTGGTACAATGTTTGGAGATGCCTTACTCTAAAGGAAGATGCTCAACTGCTTTCTCACATGGGTGGGATCAGGCAGCCTGTATTTTAAACTGAATTGGCTAGGGCTTGTTTATATTTGGAAATGGGTTTTTTTAAAAGCTTTAATAATAACCTATTTATAGATACATACTTTTGTCTCTATAATTTTAATCTATCCAAGAAAAATTGAAATGTAAGGTTGTGTGAGCTAAGCCTTACTTTGAACCAAAAATTTAAATTAACTTTCCAATTTAATAATAAAAAAGGATGCCTTGTTATTACATTATTCAATGAAAATGCTTTTAATTTAGTGACTGGCTTATTTTAGCCTCCTGTCAAGAAAACAAAAACCATTTCAGACACCAAGTTTACTATCTCAGAAGCTATCTAGACAACTGGTTAGTCGTGAACCACTGAGACTTAGTATATCTTCTGCCCTAGTTCCTTTCTCTTATAAGAAAGAAACACCTGACCAAAAGTAGGTAAGGGAAGGAAAGGGTTTATCTCAGCTTACTTATACTTCCAGCCCACAGTCTATCATTGAAGGAAGTCAAGGCAAGAACTCAAGGTAGTAACCAGAAACAAAAGCCATTGGAAATGAGGTTTGCTAGCTTGCTCTCTGGCTCACAAGCTCATGCTCAGAGAGCTTTCTCATGTAGCCTAGGCCCACCTGCCTAGAGATGGTGCCGTCCATAATGGGCTGGACCCTCCTACATCCATTAACAATCAAGACAATCCCTCACAGACATGCTCACAGGCCAGTCTGATCTAGGGAAGTCCTTAAATGACGCTGTCATCTTAAGTGACTCTTGGCTGTGTCAAGTTGATAAAGCTAAATAGGACATTACCATGAATCATTTTCTCTGTGGTTCACAAGGCAAGGCAAAAGTATTATAGCCAAACAGTTTGAAGAAAAAAAAAAAAAGTTCTAGTGCAAACACAATTCAAACAAAAATTTACTTTGCACTTTACAAACTTTATTAAATAATGGGCATTACTAACTTTTATTGTCTTATATACAGTATTTAAACTATGTTTTCCAAGATGCATTGCTTTCCCCACAAAGAAAAAAAGTAATTGAAAAGTGAACTTATATATATAAAAAAATTGGAACTTTCAGTACAGCAATCCAGTAAGAACTTTTAAGTACATAAAACTTTCCCCCCCAAGTATATACATTGCCACCCCACCTGCAAAAAAAACCTATTTTAAACAAAAGTACTGAATTAATAACATTGAAAGAGCATTTAAGCAAGTACACACAGAGACAGATACACATACATACACACACACACACACACACAGCTCTCAAAGTCTGCAGCCTGGTCCACAGACCTGATCATTAATACTACATATTTATCCTAGAACCCGAAGGATCGCATACATAGACATTTTGTACACTATGACATCCACCTTTGTAGATGGCACCAAACCATGTATCAAAACACTGGTGTGAAGAATTAATAATTTCTGAGACTCAGACAGAGCAGTAACCTGGACTATATTGGAATGTGGGTCATATAGACTAAAGAGAAAAAGAAAAAAAAAAAGACCAAAACAGGAAACTGCATCCTTGAACAAGGGTCAGATAACTTAAAAAACAAGCAAGCAAGCAAACAAAAAACAAGTGATACAAATGTGTTTCTACACAGATTCCAGCAAATTCTAAGAACAGAGTTCTCATCTTTTCTGCTATTGCTTTATCTGGAAAACTAACATCATGTTTGCATAAAAGCAATGAACAAAGGAATGTTTTCAGTGCTTGGGGATCAGCTGGGACTCTACCACCAAGTGTCACCTTCAGCCCCAATTGTTTTGGTAATTACAGAAAGAGTAAAGGATTCGGAGGACAAGAAATGCAGAGCAACAACAACACTGTGGGATCTTATTTGTAACATAGGGATGGGATGATCACATTATTATTACTATTATTATTATTATTTGCACATTTGAAAGTAAAAGGGGTCAGGAGTTAAAAAGAGGGAAAGAATTATGGAAAGCTGCCAGTGATTCGTTATTACTGCTTACCGGCAAGGATAACCCTGGCATCTTTCCCGACACTTCCTAATTCATCTTTTTCAATGGGACCGATTGTTTAATTAAAACAAAGAGAAATAAGTTAAAATGGAAAGCAAGAGGGTGAGGAAAGACTCCAGGATGTTTCACTGCGTAAAATGAGAACAGAAAGGGTACTACAAGATGTAAGTCTGACTGTGTTTATGGAGCCTTTATTAAAATGCCTTTATGCAGTAGCAATACATCTGTCTTCATTTCTCTTTCTGCATCTTCTATTTTTATCTACAAGGAGTTAGATAGGTATGCTATCACAGTGAAATGCTGTATAAAACTACAACTACAACACAAAGGAAGTTACTAGCCGGAACCCGGCAATCAGAGGCTCGGTTCTTCTCTGTGTTCCAAATGTTGAAAGAGGCCCGATGTCACAGACTGTTTAGAAACTAACGTCTGGCCCATATCTGTGGCAAAGACTTTTCAAGTAGGGCATTCAGTCAAAAGCTGGATAAACCGTCTATGAAGAACTGCCCTAGATGGATCATTCTGTCTTATCTTAACTGAGGATTTACTCTGTATTGATCAGGGACAGGCATATATAGTAGCATAGTGGGGTGTTTTGGATTGTTTGGTTTCTTTTGTGGGGGAGCAATTATCCTTTAGTTGTAATATGAAGAAATAATCAGGCTGGTCCAGAAATCTCCATTATCTTATCTAATAATTAAGTTGGCTTGCATCCTTTCGAGCTTGGATTTCTTTAAGCCATTAAAAAATATTTTATTTCACCCCAGAAATTATAGAACTATCATACTTAGTGGCATACCACATGGGCCTTGTCTAGGAATACAGGTAAATATTTTTATTTTTCTAATAACCAGTTGGTCCTAGGGCTACATTTTAGGTTTTTCAGTAGTCACGTCGTCATGTTGGCACCTAATGAAATGGGATTGGAACACCAGTGTGGGACCCTTAGAACACATATTGAGGCTCTATCCTCATCAGTGGTCACTGGCATACATCATTCTTGAGTCTTGCCATAAATATAACAGAAACACCACACAGAATTCTTTAACGAACTCTAGTTTCTGTTTTCAAAAACTGTGGAAGAGACTTGTGCTACCTCTGAGTCACAGTATAAAACTCCTTGGGGTATGTGTGTGTGTGTGTGTGTGTGTGTGTGGGTAATCTTAGAGTTGTATGAGTACTATTGTCAGGATATGGGGGGCAATGCCCTGGCCAGCCAGCTCAAAGAGCCATACTGTAAAGAAAGGAGGGCATGCTTTATACCTCTGGGCATTACAAAATTGCTTTAAATTGGTTCATATTTAAAACAACAACAACAAAACACCTCATCCCCATGTGTAACTTGTAAGCCCGAGGTGCCGATTCGGACAGGTCTAGAACCCTAGGCGAAGCTGCTGGAGCTAAGACACTGAAATTTCTCCCTCAAAGACTGGACGATGTTTTGCTGACTGGGCGATGGCCCCCTCCACAGATAATCATTCAATTTGTCAGAGTCCTTACATGCTGTCATGTAAGGAGGAAGCCCAAGCCTGTCGCTCACCGGCTCTTTCAAAGAGCAAGGTGTGCTGTGTCTACAAAGGTTACCAGAACAGTCAGGGGCTGGGGTCTTTGGGTCAGACTTTCTGCTCTGACTCAAAGAGAGATCCAGATCTACTTCTTCTTCTTCTGACTTTATCTCCACATAGTCATCCTCCTCTCCTTCAGTCTCTTTGAAATTGGAAAAGTAGTTTTGTGTCGCTACTTGGGCGCTTAAAGATAAATTTCTATTTACCACCAGAACTTTCTGTGAGTCCTGGAGTGTGAGGTCGGAGCGTTTTCCAGTGTCCTGTTGACACAAGTCCGTCACTCCCGCCAGCAAGTCCTGTTGGCTCGCACCTCTGGTACTTTTGTGTAGAGACAGCAGTTGCTTTTTTTCTGTCTCACTCGGGTAGTTGATGGAGTCAAGAGATTTGTTTATTAGGATTGAGGAAGACGATTGGGGTCTGCTGGAGGGCTGGGCTTTGCGACCCAGGGAGTTGTAAAGATAGCCCTGACAATTTTCTTTGTGGGGCTGACTGACCACCACGCTGCTTCGCTGCACGGAGCCCAGCAGGGGGTCTGACACCTGAAGAGAAGGTACCGAACAAGCTGCCGACAACTGTCTGGGAGTGCTTTTGGTGATCATCTCTAACGTGGGATATTTCGCCTTTGAGTCTTGTTCTGGCCGGGGGCAGAAATCTGCTACCTCTCCGTTACTGTAGGGCGAGTGCCAAAGCCAGTCTTCACCACTGCGCTGGGCCTGGGAAGGTGATGCAGGCCTGTGGAGAGAGGGTTCTTGGGTCCTCGCCCAGCCATCCTTCTGAACTTTAAGAGGTGTCTCTCTGAACACGATCTGGTCATACAGTTGGGAATATTCAGCAATCCTGGCACCTGGAGGGTATATATTGAAACCATAAGTATACATAGAGTTATCCCAGCCTAGAAAGCTTAAATATAAGGACATAAAACCCTAATGTATTAAAAAACAGACAATAGACTTAACGTTAAGGGTAAGCAGTCATTGAATACAATGCTAATAAAAATAACCCACAGCTTAATAAAAAGAGTTCATTTAATTTGATTGAATTTTACACTATTTTATCTGAATGTCAGATCTGAAAGTGTCCAGCGTGTGTCATGAAAATTCCTTTAATCCATAAAATCGTGTCAATGTTGAAAAGAAGTCATTGTCAGATGAGGATGCTAGCGCATATGTTCTGGTGTATAAAAATACCTCATGTCCACTAAAAGGACCAGGACCACAATGCTGTAGCCACCCCCTGGCTTCATGCTACTCTTGTTTGCCCTCAGACAAATTTACTTAGAGAAGTTGGCTCCTGGCAGTTGTTCCAATACTCGTGGTTTCTAAATAACACTCTACCACTGCTGCCTGGCAGCCAGCACATAGGAGAGTTCTTTCCTTTAGCTCAAGTAGGGACTAGCTCACGTATCCGTTCCTATTCCTCCAAAGCCAAGAGAAAAAGCATCTCTCTAAGACATTGAGAACAGATCCCTTGCTCAAGCACTCCATAACTGAACGCTATCTGGCACTGACTTAAGACCTGGACCTGAAATTACTTCCAAGAAAGCGCTTGCCACCTCTAATTAAACCACAGCCCCTTCTCCGTGTTTCCTTGCTTCAGAGGGCAGGCATCTCTAAAGACATGACCTAGATGGTGATATGCAATGGAGAACATTCTCCTGAGCCAGCAAGGACATCACGGATTCAGGAGCTGCTCCCAGCTGTGCTCTGGGTACACACGACGACCCTAACGCCAAGGAACACTGTACGCCCTGTGTACTGCTCAGACCTCATCTGCATGACATCTGCAAGACACCTCTGAAAGAAACCCATCCCATCTGTGCCCACCAGCCAATAGCATTATATGTAAAGGAACTAGTTACATGCTTCGTAACCTGTTGCTGGTGTCCTGCCCTTTGAATGTCAGCGAGAGACACATTGAGCGGAACTTCTGCTATTTCCTCAGCCTGCCGTCTTTGAAGATGGAGACACCTCACTGGATCACGTGCTTTTCGCTGGGACCCCTCCATCCTTTCACCCCTTGCCACCTGTTTCCAGCAACTGAGGCCAGCCATCTGTGTAATGTCTCAGAGTTACTATTCAGATGCTTTGGGTTTTGGGCTGCATTCAAACTGCATTTAAGGACAGAGAATATTGCTCCTTAAGTGGCATCGTGAGGACTCGTAATACCAACTCAAACTCAGCAGCACTGCAAGAGATACTACCTCACCATCTATCTGCAGTGTTCTGCGCTGGCCATTCTCCCCAGCCTGGCATGCTGCATTAACTATGAGACCCAACCACAGGGAGCCAGGACTTTAGATGAAGTCATATGGTTCGGCTCTCACACTCTATGTAACCCCGCACTGATCCACAGCTGAGTCAGGGGGCACTGAACTTCCACAGAGTTCTAAAGAGATGGCAATTTGAGGGAAAGCGGAACTAATGTACAATTCAAATAAAAGTATCCTGGCATAAATTTACCCATAAAGTTTTATTGGAGGACACGGCTCCTGACTGGAGTGTAGCTAATGTAATGTAATGTGAAAATACTCAGGTAATACATACTCTCTAAAATACTTGTATTTCTCAGGCCTTTTCCCTCTCATGCTCTCCTCATCTTTGCTCAATCAAGCCTCACCCATCCTTCAAAGTCATCCACAAGCCCTAGTCTCCTCAAAACCCCATTCCCAACTTCTTTCATAAGTTTATATGGAACTGGAGGAATGGCTTAGTGGTTAAGAGTGTTGGCTACACTTCCAGACGATGCAAGTTTGGTTCCCAGAACCCACATTGGTCAGATCACAACTGCCTGTAAACTCCAGTCCCAGGGGATCCGATACACTTGTCTAGCATTCAAGGGCACATATGTATGTATGTATTTATGTATGTATGTATGTATGTATGTATGTGTGTATGTATGTATGTATACACACACATACACACACAGGCACACACATAAAGGCACACACACATATGCATAAAATTTATACATACATTTTAAAAGTCTTATATGCATTTACTTGGACACATGCGCTCAAGCAGAAAATCTATATAGCCAATCACCTCTATAGGGTAATTCATTATTGCAGGTAATCTATGAGCTTTTGGTCTCAGAGAACAATGCTGTACACTTTGCTTAGAGCACCAAACTTCTAGAAGGAAACTGGTCTCAACTATTTCATGACATGGATTTCTTTTCACCCTTTGCTTTTGAGAATAGGACTTCAAATCTATGGGCCTTTTCTGAGACCACCCAACAGAGTCAAGACAATGTGAAACTCAGGCCACAGCAGGAAGATGGCCTTGGATTAAAATGCTTCCCACAGATAACTCCTACTGGGCACTTTAATCTTTAGATGACAAAGAGGGGGACCATTGATAAATTCTGAATATAATGTAGCTCATTAGAAGAGAAAACTGATCTGTTATTTCTTGTCTCAATGTTCCCACTTGAGAGGGTGTACACCTTGCATGATGCCAGTAAGGATAAGACGAATTTTCATAGCTCAAGCTGTGATTAAATAGACCTTGTTAGCCAGATGAATAGAAAATGGCTGGCCACCATTGACATCTCCAGCTTAGGAAACCCAGGACAAGTCTATGGGTCAAAGTTTGCCTACGACTTTACTTCTGCTACTGTCCGTTTAGGACATATACATTATTGTTACATGATTAATATCAGGATTTCTCTGTTTTTTTTCTAAAGGTTTGAAAGTCGGAGTTCTTTTTATGATTAAAAATTAAAATAATTCTTTTTTTTCTAGTTTTGTAGGCTGTCCTGGAACTTGTTCTGCAGACCAGGCTGGCCTCGAACTCACTGAGATCTGCCTGCCTCTGACTTCCGAGTGCTAGGATTAAAGGCATGTGCTATCAATGCCCGGCTGAAATAATTCTTGTGGCAGGAAATATCAAACATTTTGATTTCAAGGCAGAGGATTGGAAAAATACAGATATTTCTGATGTTGCTCAGATATAAACAGAAGCATAGAATTGCACCCTCCCTACATTACACAAAAAGTTCTCAAGCTTATATGAAAATATCACCCAAAATACAGGACTCCAAGGTCTCAAATACTATCAGCTGAACAAGATGGCCACATGCTACAATAGGCTCTAAAAGGTGGGAGCAACTGGACCTGGTTGGGTGATTTCTAGGTGGACATGTGACCGGGGCCTGTAGACCCCCGGGTCAGAGTTCAATAAAGATGCTCGAGGGTTTCAGCAGGTGAATGGGATGCTCTTCCTTCCGCACAACACCGAGAGCAAGCTCCTGGCAAAGTGGCAAGGCCCATGCGCAGAAGTCTGGAGAATCGGTCCATTCGATTACGACGTCCTGTGCCCAGATAAACAAGAGAGAGAAAAGGAGTCATAATGTCAACTGATTGAAAGCCTAGTGGGCACAGGAAGTGACCTTGATAGCCCAGATGGAGCCAGGTCTGAGAGATGGCAGGCCCCGGGGGTATGTTCCTGCCACGAGGGGAAGACAGCACTGTCACAAAGACACTTTGGGAGGGAATGCTCCTCTTTGATAGAGGAGGAAGTCCATAACAGTCTAGCAGCCCACCATGTCAAGATAAGATCCAGATACAAAGCTTAGAAGAGCTCTCCTGGGACCCCAAGAAGACAGCAGGATGAACCAGAAGGAAAAAAAGCAAATGGAACCCCAAACGGCGACCACGATACTTCAAAGGTGAGTAAAAAGAATTCTATTCAAAGAAGTTGTAGGTCCCAATTCATTAGGTCTGAGGGGCTTACTTCAAACAATCTTAGTGGCTGGCTCATATTCCAGTTGGCCTGACCCTGCCTATAAGTGGTAAACTGTAGTCTGCTGGCATACATAATCAATTCTTCATGAGCATCAGAAATACTAGTATTATATTTTCTCTGAACCAGGGAAGCAATGACCTGGCCTCAGCTATTGACTGAAACGACTGCTATGTAACGTCTCTCAAGGCCGCCTATGCCAACCCCTAAGTCCTCATGCAACTCTTCCCAGAGCCACCTATGCCACCCCACCCCAACCCAAGTCCTCCTGCAGTGTGACATCAGGTCACTTTCTGTAACTATTAAAAGACCTGCTTGGTAAGACGAGCATTGGAAAGAGCGGGTAAATGACTTCAAGATTGCTATTGCCAGGAGGAAAAGAAATGCATTCTAGTCTCACTCGCAGTCACACAGAAACCAAACCGATTTTTAATTTTATTATAAAGAAGAACTCTAAGATTCTGTAAAACCCTTCAGAAACCAAGTCCAAGTCATCACTTCCTTATCTGGTAGGAAACCACTGAAAATGAAAGCTTTTGATAATTAATACTTTAATTATGGCATACCCCCACCCCATGGATCTCTTGAATTCATTTAGGATTTGGATATCTCCTTCCTACTGTCTAGTTTCCCTGGAGATAAAGAAGTCGAATCCAGAGAAAGGAGGCTAGTGGCATCCACGTGTCTGAGTGAATGGCATTGATGTACACAAATGTGCCTTGTCATGAGGCCAACTTGCTGGCCCTGTTGATGCCATTTGGTTTTAGCTTTCATATTTGTGGGGTTTTTTGTTTGTTTGTTTTGAGACAAGGTTTTTCTATGTAGCCCAGGCTGGACCCAGATAAGACCTTCCTGTCCTGACCTCCTGGGTGCTGGTTATAGGTGTGCTCCATCATGTCTGACTTGGTTTCTGCTTTTAATTGGAAAACTGTGAGGTAGTTCTTTGTCATAAAATAGGATGTCCATCTGTCCTTTCTTCCTTCCTTCTTTCCTCCCTCCCTCCCTTCCTCCCTCCCTCCCTCCCTTCCTTCCTCCCTCCCTCCCTCCCTTCCTTCCTTCCTTCCTTCCTCCATCCCTCCTCTTTCTGTCTGTCTTTTCTTTCTTCCCTTCTCTTCCTATCCCTCTCCCTCCTTTCCTCCCTCCCTCCATTCCTTCCTTCCTCCTCCCTCTTTCTTTCTTTCTTTCTTAACAGGATCTCACTCATATAGCCCAGGCAGGTTTAGAACTGGGTAGAACTTGTAGATCTTCCTGTTTCCAAACACTAAGGCCTGGAATTTTAGACTGTGTCATGCGGCACAACAAGGGTGGGATTCCTTAAAATGTGGTAGATTTTTAAACACAGATTCCAGGGCTGGGGTATGGCTGAGTTGAAAGAGTACTTGGCTAGGCCAGTGTTCGATCCCAGTGCCATGTAAAACCAGGGGTGGGGTACCTACTGGCAATCCTGGCTTTTTGGAGGGAAGTACAAGAGGATCAGAAGTTCAAGGGGTTCAATGACACAGGGAGTCTGAGGCCAGCCTGGACTACATGAGCCCCTGTCTCAAAAGAGAAGAAAGACAGATTTGTAGCCCCAACCCCAGAAATCAGTATCTGGGGTTGAAAAGATTTCCTAAGGAGAATATCCCTTTTGTGTTTTCTTTCGCCAAGTCTCATGCTTCATTCACAACTCAAGGCTTCTCAGAGATCAGTGTTTTGTTCTGTCTTTCAAGATGTCACACAAGGAACTGCTTGTCCTTGCACCCAATTCTTATCCATGTTACATCTAAAAGCCCGCCCTGTGCCCACAAAGGAAGCCCGGCAGAAGACTTAAGCTTCTGGGAATCACTAAACGACAAAGCCACGTGGGCCGGTGCTGAATGCAAGGTAGCTGGCTGCTATGTAAAGTCACCACGTAGTAGCTGAAATAAGTGGGAGCCAATGAATTTAGAGAAATGCATGAAAACGGGGGGCTGGAGACAAAGGGCAGTGCTTGAGAGCACTGGCTGCCTTTCCAGAAGACTTGGGTTTGATTTCCAGCACCCCCACGGCAGCTCACAACCACAGCTCCAGCTCCAGAGGATCCAGCACCCTCTTCTGGCTTCCTCTGGCACTGCATACGCACGGTACACAGGCACACAGGCAGACATGCATAGAAGATTAAGTAAATAAGTAAGTCTTTAAAAAAGACGTTCTTCTTTTTTTGTCTTTGCTAGCAGAAGTGGGAACTTCTGTATTGTGTGTACGTGTTTGCAGCTGTGTATGCCTGTCTGAGGCCAATGTTGAATGTCTTCCTCAGTTGCTCACCACCTCATCTTCTGAGACAGGGTCTCTCACTGAACCTAGACTGACTGGCCAGACAGCTCTAGTGACCCACCCTTCCTGTCTCTGCCTTCCCAGCCCATGTCATGCTGTACCTGGCTTCTTACATAGGTTCTAGAGAACTCAACTCAGGTTCTCGTGTTTGTATGGCAAGTACTTTACAACTGAGCCATCCCCTCACCTCTGGGCATGGATGAGCACCTTTAGAGGTTTCTGCAACAAAGAGCAGCCCTATTCTTGCTGATTCCCAACCTCAATGGTTTTGAGGAGCACCTGCTCCTACACACATTGCAGATTCACTGGGCAATGCTTATGTTTCTTTCATAGGTTAAAGCGGATAGCTTCTTTCACATTTCAAGCTCCCTTCTTTTCCCTGAAAGTACCAACTCTATAGTAACATTACATGTGCACCAAGCCATGAGGCTCAATCATGCTATTCTACATGATCAACTACGAAGAGCAATAGTGACTTTGTGGTCTGTGAATATGAGACTTGAGTGGTTGTTGTCACAGATGTGTCTACCCTAAGGACAGTTAGAATTGGGAAGCCTGTTTCCACACCTGACTGTCAAGAAGGAAGAATAGAGCACGGAACATACCAATGGCAGGCCCTCCTTGCCTCTTCTCTTCCAAGATGGCTGCCAGGTCTTTGGGAATGGGCTTCTGTTGACTGGATGGTGGGTGCTCCAACTCTGGGCTTCTCACTTTCAAAAGCTGATTTGCCTTCTTAATCTTTTGACTATACTGCCTTGCCATCATGAACACCCTACTCTTGGTCTTATCTGTGACCTCCAAGCCAAGGTCAGGGTTTTCTGGGTCTGCCTGGGGCAGGCTGTAGTTGGCCAGGTCATAGGGATTGTCCACAGGAGGCACCTCACTGGCCAGAGAGAGTTGGTTAAGACTCATGAAGGAGCCTTCTGTAGAAGTCAAGTCATCTTCCCAGGAGCAGTTGGCCCTGTTAGTTCTGGCAACCCTACTTTTCCCAGGAGTGACAAAAGCCTGGCTCCCAGGAAGGGACAACATAGACGTGGCACGCCCTGTGCCTCTGCTCAGCTCTCTGCCACTCTCCACACATAGCCTCTCGGGCACGTCATCTTTGCTGACAGGAAACGCCGCGAGGAGACGGTCTCTCGCTTTGTCTTCGTTTTTCTTTATGTAGTTTTCCAGGTCGTTCCAGATTTCATCAACTTCTTCAGACAGTTTGTCTGACAGAGCCTTATCTGCAATGGGCAGGTTGCAGCGGGGAGAGTCATATAACAAACTCAAATAATCAGTGTCCGAGGGCCCCTGAGGGTAAGACCCATCATCCTCACTGAACTGGAGGCTGTCCTGGGAGACAAATGGCCTCAAGCTGTCACAGCAAGCAAAATCAGTTTCCAGACCGAGGAAGGTGCTCTTCTGGGGCTGCTTACGGGTGCTACATTTGAAGTCTATTGATGGTGGGTCTGGAAGCCCTATGGTGTCATAGATGTTTTCTTCCACTGCTTGGAGTTCATGTATGCTTTGGCTAGATGCCTCTTGACTACTGAGAGCTGCCTCTTTCTTTGGGTAGAGAGAGCCTGTGCTGTGGCTAGCCTGCCTCTTTGAGAAGGCTAACTCCGGGGTGCTCTTGGGGCGAACAGAGTCTCTGGGTGATTTGGAGAGAGAGTATTCAGCCTCACCCCGCTTAGCAACCATTAACTTTAAGTCCTCAAAACTTATGTTATCATAGACATGGTCTATATCATCAATTGTCAACTCTAAAGATGACCCAAAGGGCGTCATTCCTTCCTGTGCCCCTGGTTGAGGGCCATTCTGTAGTTCTCTCCTGGGACAGTACTGGGAGCCATCACTGTCCCTGGTTCTTACTTCAGGAGGGCATGTGTTGCTTTCACCAGCACTGCTGGCCCGTCGGACAATCCTGTGACCGGAGCTGGAGATCTCGGTGGGTTCAATCAGTCCCAAGTGCCAGCTGCAAGGGCGACTGGAAGTGTTCTCTTCACACAGCCTGGCGGAATTGAGATCCGAGGAGGAAAAGGATGGGACGAACATCTGGTAATCATCGTCATCGTCTTCATTCTCCTGCGGAGACCGGCGGTTGGGAAACAAGGACTGCCTGATGTGGTGATCCGTCCAGAGACTTCTGATGGCACTGCCCCCACGGAGCATACTGATTATGGCCGTGCTGGTCGACTGGCTGTTCCTCTGGGCAGGAGGTGTGGCGGAAGTCAACGGGGAAGAGCCTTCCTCTCTAGAAACCTGAAGGAGGCAGACACATAGCAACTGAATTATTGCACCATGGAGAAGATGTAGGACTGGGGAATTTCCCCTATGTAGCTAGACTGCCACATTGTTACAGAAGATGGCCACTAAACATTGTTGGTTTTCAGTTGAGTTGAAAAACATTTCAGATTTTTGAAAAGGAGGCAGAAAGGGCAGGGATATTTATTTGAAAAACTGGGCTATAGGCAATTTGCAGATATCTTATATAATTAGTTTTCATGGTCAGTCTATGTATGGATATATTGGTATTTCATGGAGGAAACCCAGGCTCTGAAATAGTAACTTTCTTTTCTGGTTAGTGGTAAGGCAAGAGCTCAAACCTAATTGACTCCAAAATCTTTGCTCCCAAACAGAACAGAAGTGAGCTGTGGAAGTGTGGAAGATGTCCGTTGCATAAACGAGTATGCATTGGGGCTTACGATTCAATACCTGTGTGTATGCAAGACTAGGGAGATTCCATTTCAATTTCTTACTCCTGAGAGTCTTTCGTAAATCTGGTCCCGTCAGGATCCCTTTCTGGTGACTTAATGACACACTTTAAGGCATCCTTAAACTGTGGACCTAACCTTAATTTATAGACTCCAGGTAAGGAGGCTTTGTTACAGGAGTTTAACCCACTGTTGAGATAATGGTAGTTTAACATTTGTTGTCAAACTATATTTAATTAATGCTTAGTTATGTGTTTGGAAGTAAAAACCCAGATGCCCATGACTTCTAATCAAAGAAAACAAGGGACCATTTTGTCACTTAGAGCCTTTCCTGATGAAGCTTGGACATGTAGAAAAATCCGATCTCCTGGGATGAGATGTGAAATGCCATCGTCTGAGAGTCACAGTGCACAAGGAGAGCGGACTGGCTCTGTGACAGGAGCTGGAGACAGGAGCGGGTAACCCCTGAGACTACTCCATACACAGGAGAGCGCGCTCCAAAGAGCTCAAATAGGTAAGGCTTGTTCAAATTAAGTAGGACCAGAGAAGGACATGTTCCCTACTGGAAATGTCAAATTAACAAGAACTGCTCGTCACTTGTCAGTCTAGTTACCAGAAAGGAAGAAAATAAAATTTCACCCTAACATTTTTCTATTAAAACTTTAAAACATATAAGAGTTAATCATTTAATCTTATTAATTTTCACATATTCATAATAAAATATTTATATATACTTTTACTGCCTTTATAAATCTTCTTAACAAAAATTTTAGCATCTTTTCCTTTTCCTTCATTCAGACTGTACTGATAACTATGCTTATAAACACAGGTACCCAGTAACTACTTATAATGAAGATGAAGTGAAACATTGTATCCAATATATTATTTAGAGGTCTGAGGAAGTTCTGAGATTAAGATATAAACAATTCAGGGTTAGAGCATAGAAGTATATAAGTCAGAAACCTCAGTTTCACCAGGGCCAAGGTGACCATTTTTTCCCCTCTGCTTTTCCACACTGTCCATTTTGGGTGTTTATTAATTTGATAACAGGATCATTTATGGTATATTTTCCTTTTGCCAAATATTGTATTAGGCGTCTTTTAAAAATTATGTCATCACATTAGGTCTTAATAATAATTTTTTAAAGTAGGAAGCTAGCTCTTCTAAGGTGAAACAGCTATCAAGAGATGTTTATAAATGGCAGAAATACATTTGAATCCAGCTTATGTATGAACAGACACAGGGTGAGGGGTTCAGGATATATATGCAGGAAGAAATACCCAATGCGATAGGCCAGTCTGTTTTCACACTTAGGATACATGCGGCACATGAGCGTTAGGAGACAGAAGTGTGCTACTGAGCGGCACACTGACAGTTTGTTTTCCTTGCATGACCTTTGTCCTTACGAAGCTTGGCAGTTCTGAAGTGGACTGAGATGGAAAAGCTTTAGCTTTAGCAGATACATAGGTACTGAGAGGGACTTGGTGCCAGGATTCTATCACAGCTGCAGTAAAGACCGAGGTACTTTCTTTGGTGACCAATTTAGGCAACGATTATAAAGTAAGTTTTGCAAGGGAAAATCAATAAAGTTATAAAATGTCAAATGAAAACAAATAATATCTGAAAAAAAAAACCACGAACATGTCCTAGAGCTACTGAAATCACCTCCCAAGTCGAAGCTGATTTTTAGACATCTGAAAGTAGGGTTTGTTTGTTTTGTTTTGTTTTTTGAAAGGGTCTCACTGTGTAGCCTTGATTAGCCTGGACCTAACTGAGATCCTCCTGCCTCTGCCTTCCAAGTGCTAGGGTTTTAAAATGAGGATAAAGTCTTTATCAACAAGGTAACTTCATCCCTCTGCTAAACTGTAGTGTAAATGGGATTTGGGGAAGAGATGATGAGAGCCACATCCTTGTGGATAAGGAGGGTATATCCTTAGATTTTCTGTGAGAAACCACAATAAACACTCTAGGAACTGTCAGTTAAGAGAACTCATCAGTAGCCATATTGGAAAAGTCACTCATCAGGCTATAACAGCTCCTCTTTCCAAGGAATAAATCTGGCACACACTTCCAGTAGGACAAAACAGTTTGCCTTTTCTTCAGTGGTGGATTTTAATCCAGGACCTCAGGGACGTCAAACTCTTCCAGTGAACATTTACCATCTCCTAATGGTTTGTTAGAGGAACACAAGCCCTACTTAGACACAACTTGACATAGCGAAGTTTCATTGTATCACACATAATACCTGTGGCGACAGTAGAAGGTTTATATTCTTAGTTGTAATTCTTTTCTCTTTTGTGGTGGGTTTCACTATGTTACCCAGGCTGATCCTAAACTCCTGGATTCATTCATTCTTCTTGGCTCAGTTTCCCTGAGTAGCAGGGACTTTGTGAGCTACTGTACCCATCTTAGGACAATAGTCTTCCAAAGGACACCTAACCATTGTGACTGACAGCCAGTGCTATGAGAAGGGAGGTGGGGGCTGGCTTTAACACGGAAGAGGTACGGGGCAGTGTGACATAGGCCACTTTAAGTGAAGGTTACTGTCTAAGGGTGGTCACAGCTTCAGAGGGAGAATTGGACAATAGCGGTGAGTAGCATTGCTGGAACTGCAAGAGATGAAATGGGGAAGGAATAAGTTGAAAAGGATTCATTCTCCCTTAAATCAAGGGCAATTAGCTAAAACTGCAAAGAGAGTAAGATGTCAAAATGCAAAGTAAATGGTGACACTTTAGACTGGCGAAGAGACCAATAAGGAGGACAGAGGTAAAAGGTGCCCACAGCAAACACTTCAGAAGAAATATGTCCATGCTTACCTTCTGGATGTCGTGTGCAGTTTCTGAAAAACAAAACAAAACCCGTTTTAAGTTTGATAATTTAAAATGTAATTCATATATAGGTAAGCATTCGTATTTTTCCATGGCTTGTACACATAATGCTAATAATTGAAGCTTGAGAGCTTCATGTCTTTTGGGTTCAGTTTTCAAAAATATCCCTCACTTATCTGTTCTACATCCTCTACCATAGCAAAGCCTCTCTACATTAAGAGCCAAAGCCATCTTTTGTGTCCCAGAGAGCAAATTGTTCCCGAAAACTTCCTAACAAAAAGATGAAAAAGAATGCCTGTGCTGTAGGCCATGGGCGTTTCCTGAAGACACTAGAATGCCTTTGGTGATTTTTAGACATTTGGGAGCTTTAAATGAAGATGAAATCTTTATCCACAAGATCTCCTTGGCCCTGTCATGGAGAGGGATTTATGCAGGTGTCTTATAGACACCCTAGTAACACACATTTCATCTTTATAAGTCTTCAGTTAGGTAAGCTTATAGAGTACTTCCCCAGATATTCCTCTCCCTGAGAGGTACAGTTCAGTCTGGTGTTCATTTTTCCTGGGTCCCACACCCACCATCTCCCACCTTACTGCAATGTAAAGTTGCTCTGTTGGTTTTTAAATAAAGGTGCAATACACAACAGTGTATTTTCTGCTAAATCTATAGGCAGGTATTAGTAGAGACCACTTCATTCTTTTCAACAGCAGAGCATTCCATCATAGGTATGAACAGACTATTTCCTACTGGAAAGACATTTTATATTGTGCTATTAAAATGACGCAAAAACCCAAGTCAAGTCTATTTCTTGTAAAGAACTAGTCACTTGCTGGCATCTTAAGAGTTCTAGAAGTATTCCTTCTTTTTGTTTTTAGGCAGGGTCTCATGTATGACAGGCTGACCTTGAACTTGCTATGGAGTTGGGAATGACCTTTAGATAGTGCATGGTGGTCTATCCAGAAACTGTGGTTGTTTCTGTAGTTAATATTCTACACCAGGGGGACCACAGGACTTGTACCAGATTCCTTGAGCACATGGAATGAGAGTTCACCTTTGAAAACACAGACCTCCACCACACCAAGGCCTAGCTCTCCTTGTGATGAATATAGAGTTCCAGTCGTACTTGTTGACACATTTACATGGGCCTGGAGGTCAAACTGTTGGGCCAAGGGCAAATGACCATTTTGAACTTAGATGGGAATTACCAAAATTTTCTCAGGAAAAGTTGTAAAAATTTACCCTCCCACCAAGAAGTTTTACAAGTGTCTTTTGGTCAAATTTGTAGCTTCCTTCCTTCCATTTCTCCCATTAAATGAATAGTTTTTCTAATTACTGATACAGGTGACTTTTTAAACTTTAAATCGTATTGGCACTTTGTTTCTTCTGGGAAGCTAGGAAATATATGTATGGACAGATATAGCGCATGTATTACATATGTTATTACATGTTTACGGGTCCTTTTCCTCTTGCTTTTGTTGATAACATTTCTTTCTATGATAGTTAATTTTATGTCCATCAGACATGTTGCAAATAACTTGCATCAAATGACTGTTTTGCAACAGGACACTTTTGCTTACAGAAACATTTAATCTTCCTGCAATCCACTTATCAACCCCCCCACCCCCAAATCTACACAATCACCTAACACGTAATTTTCTTCCATATGGCTTGACCAAGAATAAAAAAATGCAACTCTATTTTTGGACTCACCACTGGTCTTCAACACTTTGTGCGACCGCGAGGAAGGTTCTGAGGGGAGAGTAAAGCCAGCATTATTTGCAAATCAATACCTTCCCTCATAAATAAATTAGTAGCTTATCGACATTTTAAGAGCTTTAGAAACGGTCTTTTGTTTGTTTGTTTTGTTTTAGATGGGCTTTCCATGCATCTCTGGCTGGCCTCGGCTATGTAGCTGAGGATGAAGCTGAGGGTGACCTTGAACTCCTGATCTTCCTGCCTCCGTTTCCTGAGTGCAGAGATTACAGACACAAAGATCACAGGCAGGAGCCCCTTTATGTGGGCTTTGTGCATGTTAGGTAAACACTCTGTCAACTACACTGTCCCCAGCCCCGAGCTCTGGAAATGCTCTGTCCGACTGACTCAAATCCTCAGTGCTCAGAGATACTTAGGTGCAAACAATTCACTCTGCTGAAGTGGTAGGATAAACTCTTAAGGGTCAGGAGTCGTGGGACGGAGGGACAGATGTCACTTTGTCAACCCGCCAAGCAGCGGAACAACTTCTGCGGCTTCCCCTGCAGCCTACCAGCTGTCAGCTTGAGATTTTATATCCCAGGCTGTGCACCGGACCCAAGCTTTGGATCTGGCCACCTCTCGCTTCTCAATCTGAGCTCTCGGCTTCCTCTTGAACTTTCACCTGATTTGCTACCAGCTTACCATTGACTTTTCCCTCGCAAGCTCCTGACCACAATGCTATGGACTCGGTGCCTGCTTGGTTCTTCACGTGAAGCCAGCTTCTATTGAAGGCACACGTGCTTTGCTCGCCATAGTCACACTCGTGCATGGCCTGCTAAGCCCTCACGGTCAGGCTCCTATCTGCATCTCTCTGTCAACTGTACGCTGTCCTCTGTCCACCTCAGCGCCATCCCTCGTCCAGCCAGGCTGAGCCACTGGCAGCCTTGACTCGAACCCTAGGTCTAGTGGATGATCCCAGCTCCCTGACTCAGCCTCACATTCCATCAAGAGCATCAGTCTTCGACCCCATGGAGTCTCTCTCCTGCCTGGGATCTCTTCCTCTCTGTCTTTCCATTCTCTTTTTCCATCTGCATATGCCAAAGCTTTATCAAAGAGACTATTTATCTGTGCCTCTCTCTCTTTCTTCCTTCCTTTCTCTTTCTCGCTCTCTTTCTTCCTTTCTTTCTCTTTTCTTCCTTCCTTCCTTTCTTCCTTTCCTTCCTCTCTCTCTCTCTCCTCTCTCTCTCTCTCTCTCTCTCTCTCTCTCTCTCTCTCTCTCTCTCTCTCTCTCTCTCTCTCTCTCTCTCTCTCTCTCTCTCTCTCTCTCTCTCTCTCTCTCTCTCTCTCTCTCTCTGTCTTCCTCACAGAAGAGTCTTATAAACAGAAATCGTAAGTGCTATTTATCCTGGCATTCCTTGCCTATAGTAAAGGGGAAAGTGGACTTTGCAAAAATACTCCTTCATATAAAACCAAGATTTGAGAGCTAGGAGAGCAGTAAGCAAATGCATATCAGAATGTTAGGCTTGATACTCTTGTGTGTGTCATTCCAAGGTGTACTTTTTACTAGCAACAGCAAGCAGGGCGTAAGGGATCACATGCCAATGGTGAGATCTGTATAAGGCAAAAGCAGTTGGTTGATACATTTTATTTGTTTGTTTGTTTATTTGAGACGGGGGTCTCACTGTGGAGCTCTGTCTGGGCCAGAACTTACTATGTAGATCAGGCTGGCCTCCAACTCATTGTGATCTGCTTGCCTCTGCCTGGGGTGAAAGGTGTGTGCCATCATACCTGGCTGGTTGACATATTTTATATTTACTGGGAGTGGGTTAAGTAGAGAGAGGTATTTTAAAGAAAGGCTAGAGGGTTTTTTTTTTTTGCAGCCTTAGATATATTGAACCAACAACCAATCAGATAATGCCTGTCCATCAGTAAAGTACCTCCTGTTCCTCTCAGCATTATAGTTATACTTCAATGGCAACTTCCTGCTTACCAGATTTCCGCCTCAGCCGATATGGTGCAGAACCTTCTTTGGAGCCACACGGTGCCTTTGTCTGTCCCTCAGGGCTGTAGCAGAAGCCCGGATGGTCTGCAAAGAGAAGGGCATGGTGACATGTAGGGTGGCTGTAACTTTTAGGATTTTGCGTTACACCTGAAATACTAGTAATTCTCAAGCGGTAAAGTTTCTTGTGGATAGTTAGAAAGGACGTTTTTTTTTTTTTTTTTAAGATTTATTTATTTATTTATTACCTATACAGTGTTCTGCCTATGTACCAGGAGAGGGCACCAGATTGAATTGCAGATGGTTGTGAGCCACCATGTGGTTGCTGAGAATTGAACTCAGGACCTTTGGAAGAGCAGCCAGTGCTCTTAACCTCTGAGCCATCTCTCCAGCCCTAGGAATTTTTTTTTTAATGGATGAGTAAATGCATTGTAGTGTTGTTGTTTTGTTTTGTTTTTTAATTGTGGTGGAGAGGAAGAGTCCTCCAGGGAGGTAGACCTGACAGTTTTAGGACCTGCAGAAACTGTGTGACTAGACGTCGAGTACATCACAGGCAAACCAGGAGAATCAAAGCAGAAACAAGCCAGCATCTTGGGAAGGGATGATCATGCCTGCTCCAGCTGCTAAGATGGCGTGAACAGCTGCTAGTTTCTCGTAACTGACATTTTACAAGCTTTGAGATAAGAGTTCGATAGACACAAATGGAAAATAGCACCTTCTCAAAAAACAAAACAAAAACAAAACTTACGGATAGCATCCATTTCAAGTATTGCTTGCTTGGCCTGAAAGAGAAAAAAAATGTAGGTACAATTGAATTTTTTCCTCCAATTTCTTCTTTAAACTACCAAGTGTGACAGAGATCTTACCACATTGGAATAAATGGATTTTAAAAAACAAAACATTAAAAAACAACAACAACAACTCTCACTATTCTTTTAGACATTAACACATAGTTCAGGGGCCTCAAAGACTGTCCCCATGGGGATTAGCAGATGCTGTTCACTTGGCACAATACAGGGAAGACTTGATGGTCGGTTTTTACTGTCACCTGGACATAATTTAGCCTCACCTGGGAATAGAGTTTCAATGAAAGACTGTCTAACACAGTGGTCCTCAACCTTCCTAACACTGTGACCCTTTAATATAGTTCCTCATGGTGTGGTGACCCTAAACATAAAAGTAGTTTATTGCTGCATTGTAACTGTAAATTTGCTACTGTTATGAATCATAATGTACCTGTTTTTTCCAATGATCTTAGGTGAGCCCCAAAGGGATCATGTCCCACAGGTTGAGAACTGCTGGTCTAGATCAAGTTGGCCTCTGGGCAAATGGGGTGGGGTGGATTATCTTCCTGATTTTGCTAATTGGTATGAAAAGGCCAATTGGTATGGGTCACAACCCTGGGGCTGTATCCTAAGTAATCCAAGAGTAGGGGCTGTGAGCTCAGCTATAGGCCTGCAAGTATTAATTTCTCTCTGTTCTCGACTGTGGGTGTGACGTCCCTGTTACAAAGGAGTGTGACCTGAACTGTGAGCTGAAACAAACCGTGACCCTCAAGCTGCTTCTTTCGTCAGGGTATCACAGCAACAGAAATGAGGCGAAAACAAGACTGCGACACCCAAGTCCTTTTCATAGAGAGACCACCTTTCTACAGAGCCAGCACACATCACTTTGTAAACTTTAAATCAGCCCTAGATTACTTATAATATCCAACAGGTAAATGCCTTGTAGCTACTTTTATACCTGTATCGTTTAGGAGAATAACAAATGAAACCAAATAACAACTGCATGCATACTAAGTGTAGCTGCAATCCAGTCGCTCTCATGTCCCAGAGCAACCTGAGGGGGTGGCTCTAACCTCTCTGGATGAACTTTCTCAGCTGTAGGGTGGGTTAACAGGATGTACCTTTCTGAATGCCATTAGGATCAACCAACAGACGCAGGCACAGCCCTGTCTCTTCCCTCTTGGGGAATGGAGCCTGATACCTTGAGGCTCCTGCTCTCCACACACTTAGCATTTCTACCCAGAATACTCTGGGGTTTGCTGCTACTGTTCCCATATGTTGCTAATGCTCAGAGATTTAGATAAGTTGGACTGTCTTAACCCACCACTTTGCCAACTGATTGGGGGTGGGGTGACAATCAGTTGAGGTGATATTTCTTGCTTTCCAATGCTGTTTATATTTCCCCCAAGTGTAATATAATTTAATCTAAATACATTACGCTATAACAACTAAAATGATTTTGTTTCTAATTTGTTGCAATCTATGATATCATGCCAAACTATTTGGGCTGAGTGGTAATCACACACAATTAAAAAAAAAATAAGGATGGAGGCATAGACAGAAAAAAACATTAACTGTTACACAAGTTTTGAGAAAAATAGTTGCCTATTTCATACACTTGGATTTCTATTTTATATATGGAATTTGAGGCTACTAGCTAGAATTAATTTCAAACACAAATGATAGCTTAATCTCTGGAAAGTGGCTTTCTAGCTCCATGTTAGTATTAAAAATGAAAAAACACTTATTTCATCTTTATGCTCAATTAATTTGACTCAGTATATATAAATGGGGCATGCAACTAGTTCCAAGAAATCCCTTAATAAAGTTAAGACATAATCCCCTTAAATCTTGTACTTTTTTTTTTCAGGAAAGAATTCTTCCCATGCTGTCCACTAGGTGTCAGGAGAGGACCATCAGGGAGCTAGCGGTTTGGGTGGAGGTTGGCAGAAGTTAGTGAATCAACAGCTGTGTTGACATTAGACATGTCTTGTTGCTCAGTGTCCCATTATACATTTGTTTGACTTCATAGAAATAAATATATTTTGAAAGCTTTAAGAAAACAATTGAATAGTCTTGATGGAACATCTAAAAAAAAAACCCTCATTTAATAACCCTACTTAAAGAGGGCAAGGAATTCTTTTTGACGTTATAGTGGATAAATATATTAAATAGGTTCATTTTCATTTCCAGAAGGGGAAATATGGTTTAGAGGTGACTTTGAGCCAGATTTTGACTTGGGTTTGAATCTGAATTTGGCCATGCACTTGTTGTAAAACCTGGACAACTTACTTCCTGTTTCTGAACCTCTGTTTTCAGTTCTCTAATACGGGAAGAACATGCCCCATCTCTAAGGTATTTTACTGAGTGTGAAGTAAGAATACAGCACAATCATCACAATGTACATGTGTTCAATGAGTTGTAAATTAAAATGCATTTTAGATTCTAAGTGGACTAATAACTTGGGTGAAAGCAGTGGCTGTGCCGTGCCTGCATTAAGTATTTTAAGCATCAAGGGAAAACCACCAGGGGTAAACACACGGAACGGAAGGGAGAGGACAGGCATGCGAGCTGTCTCATTTGATAATTGACTATAATTGCCTTTCAGAATCTTATTAGGCAATTTGATTTTCCCAGGGTTCTTGTGAACAATAGGTGGGGCATATCCAAGACATGGTGCCATGTCTCAGAAGGGCATTGCCTCTGAGTAATCATGAGAGAAGGCCATTACTGTGAGTTCCCCTGTCTCTCACAAAGCTTGATGAAATGAAACCCACACTTCAGTCCAAGCACACACCTCTGCGGATTCATTTCCTGAACATAAAGCTGCTGCTGGCACAGCTCCTAGAGACCAGGCCAAAAATCTTTTCAGAACACGCAGGAGACAAGCTGAGCATACTGGGCACACCTGTGATCCCAGACCAAGATGGGGGATGGGGGATTCCAAGTTCAAGGCTGGCCTGGGCTACATAGGGAGAGCCTGTCTCAACCCACCCACCAACCAACCAACCAACAAACAACCAACCAACCAACCAACAATCAGCCAAAGGCAAATTTCTTCTTTCCCAGAACTCCTTTAGATTTTTCTCACCCAGTACCACTTTTTTAAAGCATCTTTTTTCTTCTTCCTTTTTTAAAACCTAAATTAGAAACAAGCTTGCTTCACATGTCAATCCCAGCTCCCTCTCCCTCCTCCCCCACCCCCCCCAATTTCCCCAACCCCCATCCAATTCTCACTCTACTCTCCAGGGGGGGGGGTGAGGCCCTTCATGGGGGACCTCCAAGTCTGTCATATCATCCAGGGCTGGGCCATTACCACTTTTACGATGACTCTGATCCCATTTTCTGTTCTATTTCTCTTCTCTTGGCCCCACCCATCATATACACCCCACCATCCTCAGAGATGGCTACTCACCCCTCCATTTTAGGTTTTTGCTACTTTATTTCTAATAACCCATTTCCTCTGCTCCACAACAGTAACATGGCATTAAGTCCACCCTAGAAACAGAACACACCAGAATTGCCCAGCCTTCCAAGTAGGCTATTATCTTCAACTACAGATTCCGTGTTACAGACCACTTCTTCACTCAGCCGGGAACCATAGTCACTACAGCTACGGGCTCATGAACATGTGCCCCTTATCTTGTTGTAGGAACCTTTCACTCCCTAACTGCCACCCCCGGAGGGGAACTCGTGAGTGCCACAGTTTCTCCTAGCAGTTTCCATGTGGCTAAGCAATTTGTCATGACCTGACACCATCACAGCGATTCACGTGGCAGCCTCGGGTGGGTTGCTGGTGGGAGCTGAGTCACCTTGAGTAACCAGACCGTCTCGTGAGCGAGGAGTCTGACCCTCTCCACTTTCTCGCACCTACCCTGTCTGCTCTCCACCCCAGGGGATGACTTCATGCCCACACCAGCATACCCAGGCCTTCATGTTTTCCTAACTCCCCTCTGTTCCCCTGCCACGCCTCTTCATTCTAGCGCAGGGAACATGTTTTCAGCTCTTTCCAAGGCTACCTGCGGGTACCACCTCTGTGCTTACGGCTCTCCCCATCAAGGGCCCTTCCTCATCCTTGCTGCCTCTGGCCTCCTGCTCCTAGTCTTCCCGGACAGCTCACTAACCCACGCCTTGTTCGCCACCCAGGTAGCAAGCCTTGTTTTGACTGAGCTGCCCTCCAAACTACACCTTTTTGAACTTTGTGGGAAAATTAAAAAGTCTCCATCCAGCCTTTTTCTCATTTCTTTTCAACCCGCTGTAAACACTCTCTGGTCCATATTCTGTTTGTTTAGACTCCTCAACGAGGCTTCATCGGGTGCCCTCCTCCAGTCCTCTCTCCTTTCTCTCTCTCTCTCTCTCTCTCTCTCTCTCTCTCTCTCTCTCTCTCTCTCTCTCTCTCTCTCTCTCTCTCTCTCTCTGGCTGTCTTCCAAGTACCCCTCCCCTAGCACATGACTTGCTGGGATTCCCAGGAGTCCCTCTTTCCCTTAGACATTCTTATGGCCCATCCTGCCAAACTATAGGGCTTCAATCACTGCTCCTCTTAATCCTGGGCTGCCCAAACCTGAATTTCCACCTCCATTCACCCTGCCAGATGCTCCTCTGCTCCCGTCTAACCGGTTGGGCATCCTCTGTGAGCCGGTCTGGTTAACTCCCGACCCCAAGTCCTTCCTGCAACCTCTGACTCAAGCGCAGTCTCACAGGGTGACATCTGTTCCCTTTGCCTGGGCGGCCTGTCTTGCGTCTGCTCCCCGTGTTGGGTTCCACGGGCCGCTTGGCCCCCTTCCACTTCCCCGCCCTCACCTCTGCCCTAACTCCCGGCCCTCCGGTCCCAACGGCAGCTGTGTTTGGTGAGCAGGGTGTCACTCCAATTTGTGTTTGCTTTGTTGTCTCAGGCTGGGTCCCCTCCCCCTCCCCAACTTCCTAAGAACATTCCTCATCCTCCAGGAAGGCAGGAGGTATTTTCCTTCCTCCCCCGCCGGCTAGAGCTGAACACTTAGTCCCTCTGCCTCAGGACACCTGGCTTTCAGCACAATTGTTTCTTCACGTCCAGTCCAGCACACAGGTCTGGGTTAGGCGGACAGCTTGCTCTCTCTCCTAGTAAATTCCTTTCCCGCCAAACTGGGCTTGGTTTCCTGCTGTTTCCACAGGACCTAACACAGCCTCCTGAGGCTCCCAGGCCTCCTCAGAGGGGTTTTGGTATTTTCTGTTAGTTCTCTACAAGTTTTTTTTTTATAGTGTTTTGCTTATCACCCCCATCCCCTTTATCCTGAAGGGGTTAAAAAAAAAAAAACAAAAAAACAAAAAACAAAAAAAAGAGTAATTAGCAACATTGCCTCCATAACCTAAGACATGTAAAACTGTACTGGATACCATTGACATATATAGATATTCAACATTCAACCTCTGAAATGCCTTTGTGGACAGGGTTTTGCTTGGTCATCCTCCTGCCTCAGACTCCCGATTGCTGGAATTACGGGCTCTATTTTGAAGCTTGGCCTTGCTTCCAGTCAGACTCCTTGCAAGGGCCTGGGCCCTTTCAGCCAGCATTGCCGTGTGCTGACTGGACTCTCTCTCTTACCTTAGCTGGGATCTTTGCTGCATGGTTCTCCAGAATTAGTCTCTTCAGGTGCAGCACCCAGAGGCGTTTGTCTTGCTGGGATTTGGCCTACAGGAGAGGATTTAAATATGGAGACATGAGATGGTGGCTGGGCTCTGTGCACCTCTTCCATGCGGGGCCTAGGGAAGGCCGCCTGTTACCTGAACTGTGTGCTGTAGCTTGGGGTTCTTGTAATGGAAGACACTGAAGCTGAGAGGCTCCTTCGGTATAACCTCCACAAGCATGAGGTTGCCACACTGCGGCAGAGAGACAGTGGGTGAGGCGCAATGGGACATGACAAGCCATCCCCCCCCCCACCCCGGGCGTTTCATGCCACCCCACGAGGACCCACCAGGATGTGAGCTTTGTAGGTAAACGTGTCGTCTCTCTTCTTTGTGATGAGAAGCAGCTTGTCCAGCAGGAATAGTGTCCTCTCATTCTTGGCCCTCTGGATGCGGAAGGTTCCCTCAAGCACCAGCTCCCCATAGCTGGTGAGGTCTGGTCCCTTCCAGTTAGTTAGCAAGCTCTGGATCTCCTGAGAAATGGGAAATCCCCCCAAGTTAAACACCCAGCAAACCGCAAGGCATCTCAGACTCAGTGGCCCGTCACTGAACCTCAAGGACAGCGACTGACGTAAGTCAATATTTATGGGGCAGGGCCATAGTCAAGGGTTACCCAAAATGAATCAAATTGCTAGTTGCTGGGTTGCCAATACCGGGCAAACCGTCGTTCCTTAATGACCCAGGGTTATGGCCGGCGCCGTCAGCACCTATACCTTTCAAACATGTCACAGGGTGGTCAGCAGTGGTGGTGTCGTACATGACACCCTCCTCTAACCTTCCTCATTTCTTCTCTGTGAATTAAAACCTCCAGTGTTCAACTTGGGAATGTTCTAGAAAGTGAGGCCATACGCTACACCATTAACACAAAACTAAAGCTTGGATAAAACCAACTAGAAGTTCATTTACCTAGAAGGGGGAAATGGACATGCCTTGGCCACTGTGTTTTAGTGCTTCAGTGGAACTTAGAAAATATGAGTGATACGATTGACATTTCTTTAGGATTCATTGCACATTAAAACTTTAAGGAAGCTGATTTCATTACTTTGAAAACTGTAAAGATTCCCAGGTACTGCTGAATTAAGAAAAGTCACAAGTGGTGACGATCTTCACTGGGAAGCCAGATGTGCTGCTCAGTAGCAGAGCATTTGAGTAGTCTGTGCAAGGTTCATCTCACTCCCAAACATCCAACCAAATAAACAAAATGACTGTCATTGGCTACAAGCAGAAATGGTAGAAATGGAGTAAAGTTTGAGCCAGCGTCCGATTTAGTGGAATCTTTGGAATGACACAGTATGAAAAATTAGCCATTTAGTCACTTTGACTCTGTAAACGATGTCTGATATTTTGTTTGTAAAAAAAAAAAACCCACTTGAATGATTAAACTTTTTGTTACTGTTGGAAAAAATAAACATAGTCTGGGAGGATAGGACATTGTCATCCTCATCCTCTGACTTTTTTGTTTTTTCGAGACAGGGTATCTCTGTATTGTTTTGGAGGCTGTCCTGGAACTCAGAGATCTACCTGCCTTTGCCTCCTGAGTGCTGGGATTAAAGGCATGTGCCACCAATGCCCGGCATCCTCTCCTCTGACATTTGATAGTGACATCACACCAAGCCCTGGTGGCCTACAGGTGAATCTAGCCTTGTTTTTTGTTTTTTGTTTTTTGTTTTTTTCTGACTTCCGAGGAGAAGAACACTTACTCTGTTGCCTTGAGATAGCTTTTGGGTTCACTCCGCATCCTTCCATTTCCCTGGTAGGGTCCCAAGTTTAGAACTAGCAGCTGAGACAATTTTTTTTTTAGGTTTATTTTTATTCTCTATGTATAAGTGTTTTGCCTGCATCTATGTCTGCATGTACATCACGTGAGCCTGGTGCTCATGGAGTCATAAGATGGTGTCAGATCCCCCGGAACTGGAATTATGGACAGTTGCTAGCCTCCATTTGTGTGGGTGCTGGGAATTGAACCTGGATCCCTGCAAGAGCAGCAAACGCTCTTAGCCACTGAGCCCTCTCCCCAGCTCCTTGTGAGTAAGTGGCTTATTTTCTTAGGAGGGTAGAAGAGGTTCCTGAGATTTTAGGGCTCATAATACTGGTGCTGGATGGACCTTGTCAAACCTGTCACCTGGCCCGTTTTAAAGTTGAAGAGACTCAAATAATGGGCTTGGTCTCCGTGTCTTAAATGAGATGCCAAGGAGCTGCTCCAGTCCCCAGTCTGCCCACTGAGTCACCTGGCCCGTGGCCACCCTAACACCGTATGTCATGGTTTTACATAAACGAGTGAGAGAGGAGCAGGGGCTCTAAACGCCCTTGGATGGTTCTATGGAAACTTGCTTTCAGCAAGACTTGTAACTGACTTGTAATGATAACAGACACAGCCTTGGGAGGCTCATATTTAATCAGTCATCAAAGGAGCGGTAAGAAAATTATTAGTTTAAAGCGATAACTTTTGTCTCATGTAGCTTGTCTAGTCAATGGTCAGTGTAATCCATGCCCTAAGCTGCCTCCTGGGGGAGCTAAGGTGAGGACTGTAAATGAGGGCACCACTTATGCAGCCGGTTGTCAGAGCACTTCCTGGGATCTGTCACCTGTCTCACCTGCAAGCGGACGGCGTGCTCGTGCTTCCGTTTCATGTCATTGATGTGCCAGGCCACGCGCTGCATCGTGTCTATAGCGTCAAGCACAACATCGTAGCCTTCTGTGTCCTTGTCAAGATGATTCTCTATTTCCTTAAAAAAAAAAGAAATCTGTATTAGACTTTTTTCCATGTAGTCAATGAAGTAAATGGCTTCTCTAGATTCAGTTTCATTCATATATATATGAAAAATATATATCACATATGTATATACACATATGAACATATGTATGTATATATACACATATAATTCATTTGTGTATTAGCATCATTCCTTTGTTTTTTTTGTTTTTGTTTTTGTTTTTGTTTTTGTTTTCGAGACAGGGTTTCTCTGTGTTGCTTTGGAACTCGCTTGGTAGACCAGGCTGATCTCAACCTCACAGAGATCCACCTGCCTCTGCCTCCTGAGTGCTGGAACTAAAGGTGTGTGTCACCATCGCCCGGCTTAGCATCGCTCCTTAAGTAAGAGATAATTTTACCATAAATACCTACCACAAAAAACCCCACCAAATGGGCAGGAATAATGAATATTACAATATATAGGGTACAATCTAAAGGGTACAAACCCTGCAGCAAGCCACACAGAGATACTGTAGTTGCAGTGGTGTCCAGAATAAGAGAGCATATAGTAATATAGCTCTCAATCTCAAAGGCAAAATCTTAAAAAAATATATATGAAATTATATATTAAAATATGTTTTGTATATTATATAAAAATATATAATGGGCACCCCATGTAAAACTCAGTTTCAGAGCATATGTTCAGTGTGTACAGGTCCTAGGTCATTCGGCACCAGAGAGAGAGAGAGAGAGAGAGAAAGAGAGAGAGAGAGAGAGAGAGAGAGAGCTTTTAGCAAGGAGGTTTTCATGTAGTCACATTTAAAGCCCAAATGGCCGTCATTCAGAGTGTTGACAGGCTCACAGCGTTCAAGGTTCGAGAGCTGATTCTCTGACGGTCAGGGCAGTTTGCATTACCATTGATCTTACCATAGAGTTTCACCATCCCAAGGAGGAGAGAGGCACCACAACCCATTATAATTCTCTATCACTCCTAAGTCTCTTGGAGCCCTGAAGAGTCCAAACAGAGAGACGGCCAGTCTTTTGCTCCCTTATCATCTCCAGTGTGCCTAACAGGTAGATAGTATCAGAAAATGTTTTTTCTCCTGTTTTTCGTTCTGAGGACCAAACTTAGGGCCAGACAAGTGTTTTACCACTGAGCTACATCTCCAGCCTCATCAAATGCTTATTAATTGGAAACAACATCATCCTAAAAACGGTAATCTTACATAAATACAGCGAGCTTTCATAAATACGGCTTTCACATCCATGGGTTTAGCTGGTGGTAAACTGAGAAAAGGTTTATCTACCCAAGGATAGCTGTATCTATAGTTAGTACACTGCAGATCTATTCCCTAAACATAATACTTACACATTCAGTGCTTACATTATGTTAGATATTGTAAGTATCTAAAATCTAGTATATGGGGGAATTTATGTGAGCAATTTGCAAATGATTCTGAGTTTGTTATTTTTAAAACCAGAACATACAGAGTAGTATATTTCATTGTAGCGTTCTATGCTATTTTGCATAAGGGATTTGGCATCTATAGGATTTGGTGTTTAGAGGGACTTGGAATCAATCCTCTGGAGATACCAAAGGGTGCAGGATCTACAGTAGTAAGCAGTTGGTCACTAGATGCTTTGTGACATCTGTTACCCATCATCTTAATTCCATTACTTTATAGTAACACTGTTAAAAATTAAATATTCAAGGTTTTTTTTCATCTAGCTTGACTGTGGGGAAGAATCTGTGTTTTCTTTCCAAATTCCCAGGCTCATCTGTTAAAACACCTTAGGAAAATGTTCTGTAAAACCAAGGTCAAGATGAATCCCTTCTTTTAGTTAAAGAGTCAACTCTGTCTATCAATAAATGGACAGAGAAGTTCAGGGGATGTTCTTATAAGGATGCAAATGTGTGGTTCCACTTCTAATTGATGTGAGCTCTGGGGGATATTCTAAGTTACATGTGTAAAAGCAAAAACAGCTCAAAGGCAACAAGAAGATAATTTGGGATTAATTCAGTTACCATTCTTACTTTATTCCTTCATACATAGTTATTTATAAATATCAGTTAAGCTTTTGTAAGGATCTTGATTACTCAGGGGAGCTGAGATCTTGGCTTTCTCTTGATTTATGGCCACCTGATTCTCTAGCAGACTAACGTCTTCTATGTCATATTAACAGAGTGTAGCAGAGATGCATTCTGGGGAAGGTGTCATTTGTTTTTTCAAGAATTGTCTAGACCCTGATTTAGCAAACTAAATCTAGAAGGTCATTAGGATTAACTTAAAAATTAAGGATCTATTTCCAGTGTGTTTTCATAAAATGACAGAGAACTATTTAAGCAAGCAGACGAAGACGGTTTTGGTAAAATTTTACACATGTGAATTCAGCAAACCAGAAATGATTGCCCCAGTTAGACACCGAGAATCATTTCAAAACAGACACCACACATGGTCAACAGTCACGCCACCCTGAACATGCCTGATCTTGTCTGATCTTGGAAGCGAGACAGGGTTGGGCTTGGTTAGTAGTTGGGTGGGAGAGATACTAGGCACGCTGATAAAACAGAGCTCTGGATTAGAATTCCTTTACTTAAAATTTTTATTTGTTTGTTTGTTGATTGATGGTTGGTTGAAGGAGAGTCTTATGGAGCACAGGCAGGGCCCAAACCCTTTGTCTACCCGGGGATGACACCAAGGTCTCCATCTTCCTGCCTCTACCTCTAAGATCCCTCTAGGAAAAGATTCTTAATCTAGTGCGTAGAATAGCAAACAGTATCTCATTTTAATCAAATGGCTATTGGCCACAGCGAATGTGGCATCTTATAGGATCTGGAGGCAGACTGGCTCTCCTCAGGGCTCTGTTCCTCAAGCCCACTTTTCTGGTCTCCTCCCACTGCAAAGCTAAGTGGATGCTACTTGTAGAATGTACATGGTCTTCAACAGAACTTTCTCCATCTTTCCAAACTTCATTAGAGGATATGAGAGGTGAATCTGACATCTACAGCCATCTTATTGCTAAAGCCTTCTTGACTATTACACAAGCAGTGGAACCCACTAGAGAAGGCTGACAGCCGGAAGTGAGGCTAAGCTCCATTCACAGATCCTTCATGGCCCTGCTCATCTGCCCTCCCCCTTTTGAGCACTTTCCCTTTTCTTTCATACGAGGGTCAATCTATGACAAGCAGTTTTCCCTTCCAGCTGCCTACTGAATTGGGTCTCATGGAAATGAAGCAAAACAGGAAAAGGAATCTGCTTTTCATTTAGAGGCTCGCTCTCTGCCTGAAACTGACCCTGTCCAGCACCAGGCATTCCTCAGCTCCGTCACTATCCAAGTTCAAATTACTCTTTCGGCTTGGCTGTTGTGGATGGGCCTTTAGCCCTAGCATAAAAGTATCTCTAATTCCTCAAAGCAGTTGTAAAGCGTGAGATTAGAGAATGTTTCCATATGAATGCAACATTTTCTGGCATTGGCCCTCCTCCCCCGCCCCAATTTAATATATACACCCCAAGCCTCCATCCCTTGGCAAGAGTTCTAGCACAGACTGAGACTTACATGGAGAAGGAGATGATATTTGAGAATCCGCTGAACTGGTTTTAAGAGATAGGACCCTAGGGGCAGTGAGTGTTTCAGAGTTTCCTGGCGCTCCCGGAAGAACTTGGCTAGTATCTTGCTCCTCATGCACTCGGTTAGCACGGCCACAGACCTGCAAGAGAACACATGCTTTTCATCATGACGATGCTGTGTTTTACATGGGTGTTAGAGGTTTAAACGCTGGTCAGTCTTGGTGGAAATAGCCTACAATGGGCAGGGTAGCCACAGAGCTAGCTCTTGGCTAGAATGCCTTGGGGCAAGTCAGAAAAAGTGTCCCTTTGGATGGGTTGGATTAGAAAAGGGAACTGAATTCAGCGGCAGAGAACCATGGGCTTGGGCTTCGAGGACACACAGCCCCACACCAGGACACTGTAGCTTGACAAGAGACACATACATTGGATTTTAGCCTTTACACGTGCCCTATCCAGATGTCTTTGTACAGTGCTCATGGTGCGCATCTGGATTCAGTTGCCACAGGCCAGGTTACAAGGCACAGCATCCCTGGTTTAACACAAAACAATTCCTCTTTTTTTTTTTTAATCACAGACTTGGTCTCCTATCAGAGCATTTGTCACCCACCTCAGATGACTTGTGAAATGGGCCTACATTACCACTTTCCAAGAGTTGGCTTTTGTCAGGGAGACCCTTGAGTGGCTGCCCCCTCGACTGTCAATCTTCTCCTCAATAGTCCCACTGCAGGTTACCAGAAAAGGGGGTAGAGTCCCTTCTGTAGTTCTCAAAGTCATGTAGCCCCAAGGCCTCTCAAAGCAACAGTTTAAAGGTGATTATCCCTTCCACACCAAGTTAGTTAATAGGGTCGGATATCACACGTGTGCAAATCAAAATCCTGATGCTGTATAACTTGGATGCAGGCAGGAATCACTTTATTCTTTTCTTCCCCAAGCCTCTGCCATGTTTTTTTTTTCTGGGTTCATTGAGACAACCAGATGGAGCCAAACAACAAAACAAGACTCCTTGGAAAGTCTTGTAATTAAGCTGTTAGAATCCCTTTGTGCTATCTGCTTTAGAAAATACCAGTTTAAAGGGATTTATTTCTCCCTCGAGTCCTGAGTTTTAAACTCTTCATTGTGTGACCTGGGCATTTCTGTGAAGTGTTTTGGAGCAGCTGCTCAGTAGCCTGGTGGCTGACTGATGGCCCCATTTCTTGCTCAAGATCAGAATCTGTTACAAGTCAGTGCATATGACACTCTAGGTTCCCAGAAAGCTCGGGAATAGGGCAGGCATCCGAGAACAATGGCATGACCTCCTTTGTGCCTGTCCCTCAGAGAACGAGGGAGGGACCTCTTCACAGTGAAGTCACCGGGGTGTGACAGGCATGAAGGAAGAAGTCACTTGCCACTGTGTGCTCATCACATTTACAACCACCAGCCTGGGTCTGAAGAGGGGGAGAAAAATCTTGGTACTCTTGGTTTGCTAAGACAAGGACAAGGGCATCTCAAGTCTCAGAGCAGACTGCCTACAGACAGGCACAGAAATATTTCTTTGTAGCTATGAAAGCCACACATTGGGCCAGAACTGGACAGGCCCTCTTTATTGAGAACATCCCTCAGTTAACACAGGTTTCTTTAAAGGCAGACTCAAGATGAAAATACACCATCTCCAGGACACTGTCCTTAACTATCACCACTGGGGCCATTTCTTGTTACTTTATGTGTCTTTAGCTTCCACTGCGTGTTACTGAGCCCATTGATTTCCATCTAGGTATTATTCAATCTGTTCTATTATACTATTTTGTTGGTGTATGCTATCGGGGTCTGCCCCACCAAAGCATATAAGCTGCTTGAAGGCAGGAATGTTGGGTCCTAGTTCCTGCAGATCGACACTAAGCATAGAACAGTGCAGCATGAATGACAGGCTCTTAAAAATCCTTCTTGTACACAAGCTCACTTTGCCGGGATCCCAGGGCAGTCCGTGATGGCAAGTCATCATGCTTTATCAGTAAGTCAGGAAAAACTTCTGAAGTTTTGACTTGGAAAAAGTGTCTCTAATGAGGTTATGTCTTTGGATGGTTATGTCCTTAGTAAAATGCACACAGACAGACCCTCCCAGGCCAGCCACTCTGACCACCAGACCCAGCTGATCTGTCAGTTTGAACAGCTTTTCTTTTATTGTGAAGAGCTTCTGTGGAGAGGCTGTGGGCCGACTCTATGGTTCCCCTGCTGCATGGCGTTTTGGCTTATGGACCCTGCGATTTGGTTGATGCAGCCTCTAGTTTGCACTGTATCAGTAAAAGCATGCTTCAGTGTAACCCTGCAAACTACGGTGTGTCTATAGAAAAGGATACGGCAGACGCTTGAACATGCACGCAGGGTGTTTGCCTTAAAGAGAAACCTGGGAAAGGCACGGCTTCTCCACCCAAATGAACAACTATGCTGTCACACCACATCTTGAACACTGTTTACAGGAGAATAAAACTTTACCAAGGGAACTAGTTGTTAATACTAATTCCGAACTTCAGGCTTCTTAGCACACACTAGCCTTTTAGCAACTCCTGGGTTGCAGGTTAGGGGTGTTTGTCCTGCCTTCCCTTGGCAGCTGCAAGGATTCTACTATATATTGTATCCCTGTGGACCACCTCTGCCGAGATTGACCAAGGGTGTGTAAGTCACCCCAGTCCCCATTCCAGCTGGGCTGCAAGAGCCTGCTGACCATTGCTTCACAGAAGGCTCCAGAATGTTATGAAAATATCATGATGGGTGGTCTGAGGCTGGAGCAGTTCGGTTGACATCCGCACTGGGCTGTTCATCAGCTACAGGACCCTGCGGAGTCAATTTGCCATGGGTCCCTCAGCAGGGTCATCCATAAAATGGGAAGAAGGAAGGGGTGGTGATGGATTTGCATTTGATGAGACTCTACTGGGTTTCTGGCACTGGGGTGGATGTCCTGCATTCCTTTAATCCCCTAGAATCTCTGAATCACTCACTGTGCATGTTTACTTTAGCATTTGTTTTTATAACTTTCAACACTGCTCAGGAGTCAAATGCCTAATAAATGTCTTGTGAAGAGTAAAGGAATGCCTAGAGTTGTAGCCTTGGCTTTTGGCTCTTACTTTGTGATAAGTATATTGTCCAGGCTGCTCCTTGAATGCCCTCCCGCCACCAGTCTTAGATACAAGCAAAACTGAGCCAACAGCGCTGGGAGGCTGGAGGACCCCTTCCTCAGGCTGAGTGCTCATGACCTGTCTTTTCTGAACTTTACATAAAACTTGGAAAACTCATAAAGCCTACCAAGCAAAACCAGAACACATTCTCTCCCCAGCTGTGCTACACAAATGATCTTCAAAACGTGGCACACATAAAAAAAAGCTAACAGAAAAGTAGATAGCCCTATGCAACAACGCAGATTTGTCAGTTTTCCTTTGGAGCTATGCAGTGATGTTCCTGGTCTTACTCAATGCCTTTCATGAATTTTCCCCTTCTCCAGGTCCACGGATTCTCCCAGTCCAAAAGGCATCAAACAATATCTGAGATCCTCATAGTCCGTTCTCAGCATTCCTGCATTTCCCATGGTCTTCAGCACAGTGCCAGGCACACACGCTGCATCTAATGACTCGAAACAACATGAAAGGGAGAAGAATTCTACCCCTTTCCAAGCCATACCTTGGGTAGTTGGTGCAGTACTGGGTATAAATGTGGAACTCTTCACTCTGTGAGGAAACAAGAGAGACTTGCATAAGCCCCAGAGCACAGACAACAACATCCATTCCAAAACAACACAAGAAATAGAAACCAAGCTTTTACTGTTCCAATCACATTGCTCCACGCCTTGAGCCCATGTGGCCATCCTCTATGCCCACAGCTCTTTACCCAGAATCCCCATAACTTGAACTCAAGTCCAGTAAACACTCTGAATACCTGCTGTGTCCCAATGAATCTGAAGACAAACAGGAAGAGATGATAATAAAGGTTTTTGCCCAAGGCACTTACTGAAATATAAGTAGGTTAAATTTAACACAAAGCAGTAAGAATAAATACGTCGGAGTATGTGTGTGGGAGATCAGGAAACTGGGTCATGCGCTCAAGTCCTGCGTGCGTAGCTCTCTCTACCTGGGGTCATTGCTGCTTTTCTCACTGCATAGCCCCTGGGTCTGCCTTGAGAATGAGTTCAGGCTGAATTTCTTCCAAGCAGCTTTCCTTGAGCTTTTGGGTTGAGCCAGCTGCTTCTAATTGTGAACATCCACCAGGCACAGCGTTCATCTGTCTGGGAGCACTGACCAAATGATACTTACGTTTTCTGTTTATCTGTGTGGCTTGCCATAGTCAGGGCTGGGCCCACATTTGTCCTCCTGACAGATAATACCCACTGACCCCTCTCTCCTACTGAACATCACTTGAGAGCAGAGCCCAAGGCTACCCACCTGCGTGTACCTAGCCCAGCAGCCATGTCCCAAAAGTAATGAAGGTTTGACTAGCAATTGGACCCCTGTCTCACCCTACCTAAAATTTCCACTTCCAAGGCTCTCCTAGTCTCTTCAACTGTGAATTCATATTACAGGAAATAATACATTGATACTGTGTGATTTGGACAGTTCTTTAAAAAGGTAGGGTCACAACTCCATGGAAATATAAAGCAAGTATTGTTTCTTATTTCACCTATTAATGAGGAAATTGGTCAGACATTACAAAGTGGATCAAAAGAGAAAGAGAGAGCATGCTTAGGTCAATGAAGACTGACATGAATTTTTACAAAGATATCTGAAACTGGCTTCTTCCTTCTGGACTACGGTGAGGAAAGAAGGCAATTGTCAAGTCAGTCATGACATTGCTGGGCGGGGCCAGGAGGGCTGTTAGCTTGAGGTCAGCTTGAGGTCCAAGAAAGGATGGAGGGAGTCAGGGAGGGAGGGGGAAGGGAGGGGAGAAGAGGTGAAGGAGGAGGGAAGGAAGGAGAGGAAGAAGAGGAAAGGAGGAAGAAAAGGAGGAGGATCGGAAAGGAGGAAGGGAGAAGGGGACCCATCACCCCAGTTCCCATGCATCCTGGTGGGCAAGCACCATTGCACTGCTCTCTGTTATATGAAATTGGCAAAGCTGAAAAACATGTCCTACATCCTCGGGAAAAGGAGCACAGACCCCACTGAAGAATAAACCAGAAAACTGGTGGTGACACCCACTAGCTAGTCTTTTTGTTGATTTCCTACACCGCCAAGGGAAAGAAGTACATCCACGTTCTGTCTTTACACTTGCATCTCATCCCCGAGATACTGTATTATGTCTATGTAAGTTCTGAGATCTGAAAACATCAGACACATTTCTGGTCCCAAGCTTCTGAGATGAGGGCGACACCACCTGTCACTAAGATTCGGAACTACGGGTCTTAGTTAGTCTAGAGCATTCCCGCTTCTATATTTCTCTTGGCCATTTCATTTCCCAAGAGCACTGACGTGAATACTTCCCCGCACTATCCCATAGCACACTCCACAGTTTTCACAGGAGAACAGGGACAGCACCAAGAACATGTGTTGGCTGTATTTTGGCCACCACACATTTTCCAAATCAATCAGAATTTCTTTTGCATGGCTACCTACCAACTGCATGCCCACCTTTCTGTGTTTGTCTCATTATTTTACTCTTGGTGTATAGAGCCTTTTTTTTTTTTTTAAGCCTTGGTTTGGGCTCCAGTTTTACAGATAAAAACATATTCAGAGAAGTTAACTCACTCTCATCCATTCTAGGCGATTCCTTCCTTTCCTTATATTTTTGTTTGTTTGTTTGTTGAAAGAGTGCCTCATGTGACTCAGGCTGGCCTCAGATTTGCTATGTAGCTGAGGATGGCCTTGAACTCCTGATTCTCCTCCTGAGATTTCGGTCTCCAAATCCAGTCCCTGTCTGCTAATTTTTTTTCAAATCCCATCAGTTATCGTGCTTTTAAACACAGACATCCCTTTAGCAGATAAACAAATCACACTGTAGGAATGAACTTGAGTGGGCGTCACTGGAAGGCTTATGAAAACAGATGGCTGGACTGAAAATCAGCTTTTCATTTAGTTGTTTGCAGGTATTTCTAGCAAGCTCCCCTGTGGTACTGATGTCCTAGGCACTGGGAGACCATACTTTGAGAAGCTTGTGCTGGGCACACTTAACCGCCTCCCCCAAGCGGTGTATGGAGACGTTTCTTATTTGCTTACATTGCTCCACAATGCCCCATTATTTGGTTGAATAGACAAAAGATTATTCAGGCAGCTTTTTGTTTAGGTGGTCTGTAGTCTTTGGAGGATGGAGTATTACTGCCAAGTATCGTGTCAGACTTGTTGAAATTTTGTCAGTTTATCCTGTAACTAGCTTTCTGGAAGTAGGACTGGTAGGCCCCAGGGTAAATTCCCATCTCTAAATACTAAATTCAGCCAGATTCCTCTTAGTAGCATCTGGGCTAATTTTGAATCTGTTTCCTTACAGGCTAAACAGTGTTTTAAACCCAGTGCCACATTTTCCAATAGAGCACTTTACCAATCCTAAATTAGCTGTCTACTTCTAAGCATTGGCGAATATAAATAGCTTGAGTTTGGGCTTCTCCTGACAATGCACGGGTTCCATGGGCCATAGCCCTCCAGATTCACACAGCAAATACTATCCTGTGAGTCCAGCAAACACCTGCTCCACTGTGGCTTCCACCTGGGATCCTCTATACATCGAGATAGGCAATTATTGGCTGTGCAGGACAGCCCTGACTGCAGGGGTGAGCAAAGTAAAGGGATGTGCTCAGGTCCTTTAGCAAGAGCAGGCCGACTAAAGCTTTCCCCACTGGTCCACGCTGGCCCACACAGCTCAGAGTTACTGTACTTTTCTCATCCTGGAAGAGAATCGCATCCAGCTACCAGTCCTCATACTCTGAGACGTTTAGGATCATGGGACATGCCACATTAAAAACAATGGCCTGCATGAAGATACATTGCAGTTGACACACATATAGTCAATGTCCATACACCAGTCCCTAGCCAGGCCCTGGGGCTTCTCAATTTTGTGACATTGTGACTCTGTTCCCGTTCTTAAGGTTTATTCCCATCAGTGGCAAATCGTTAACAGAGGGTTATTTTTGCAGCGTTGACCTTAGATGTGCAAACATCTTTAGATCTTAATGTGTGTGTGTGTATCTGTTGAATATATATATATATATATATATATTCAGCAGCCCCTAAGCCTGTTAATGCTTAAATGTCATTCATTGTATACCGCCAGCCCAAACCCTTTTAAAGATGCATTTAGGGAAACACATTATATAAATTAGAAAAAAAGCAGATATTGCTTTCTAGTTATTCAGCTCTTTCAGATTATAATCAGAGAATATGCAGAAATGAGGTGGTTATGCAAAAAACGGAGCTATAAATACAGGGCTGCTGAACAGAGCCACAGGATACCCAAGGGCTGCTGCTTTTCTGCCACAAACCTCTCTCTCCCCCTTACAGTCTGACTCCAGGGACATTTTCTTGGACATAGTACACAGGTAGCATATGGGGAACAAGACAGTGACTTGACATGAGTTTTCAACACTAGCAATTTCTTTTTCTTTTCTTATTTTTCAAACAGTCTTATTTTATATACCAATCCCAGTTCCCTCTCCTTCCTGCCCTTCCTTCCAACACTCCCCTCACCTTCTTCTCACCCCCACCCCCCATACACTCCTAAGAGAGGGTGAGACCTCCCATGGGGAATCAACAAAGTCTTTCACTTGAGTCAGGACCAAAGCCCTCCCCCTGTATCTAGGCCTCCCCCCCCCGGTATCTCTTCATAGGTATGAGATCACACCAGATAGCTTGGACATCTATCTCCTCAATAGGATAAGACTCTTAAGGGGACTAGCAATTTCTTGATAATTCCAACATGTGGTGCATGCTCGTGTGTGTGGTCTGTTTGTATTTATGTCTACATGTGTGTGCACTTATGTGTGGCGAGTGTTGGTTGCATCTTTCTGTGTGGATGCATACTCATTCTCCTCAGCTATGGAAGAAGGAAGACATTCATGGGAGGTGATGAGCACTGAGGGAGAGGAGGCTAAGGGGAACTTGGAGGTCATGCAGTCTCTCCTGCAGCTGCCCAGAGTAAGCCGTGCTGACAGTTCAATGAGGGATGAGCATGGCATGAGGGTGACTGAGAAGGCCATCTGGGGACAGACTCAAGTCTTTCAAGGTGCTTCCGGAGCCCCGAGTGCACATCAGGACACACGAGGCATCAGGCCCAGGAGAGAATGCTTACTTCTGTCCCTCAAGCCAGCTGCCGTCCTTATTCTTCTAGAAGCAGTCAGTGAGACAAAACAGTTATTTTCTTTGTTTGGCCAATGACTTCCTGAGCCTACACACACCGTATAAGAAAGGCAGGCCAAAGATGGCGCTCTGTGTAAGGCCCAGCGATTCCCATAGAAGCAGAAGTCAGCCGCCAGCTTTACCTCTTTTGCTAATGACCTCTCAATTAAAGCAATTTTCCATTCCTCTTGGAGCAGAGCAGCCGGTGGCAGTTCAGAGAAATGTACCCTCGTGTAAATGTCAGGGTGCTGAGTGAGAGTGGGCAGGGCACAGCCCGGCACGCCCTCCGGATTCCCTCTCCCATGTGAAAGTGCCGAGCGCCGAAGTCGGTCTTCTAATTAAACTTGGCAATATTACAATGAAAAATGAGATTTGGGAGCTGGCAGGGAGGCACATAAACAAACTTTTATGTGAGTAATTAAGCCAGAGTTAAGCGAACACTGGAACCTCTTTAATCAGCCTGTGATTACAGTTGGAGTGAAAGCCGAATGCTTTCTAAAACGTCAGCATTGTGCATGTGCACATCTTCTTCGAGATGCTCAGCCTCTCTTTTTGTTTTTATACTGTTCCTCCTGTTTCTATTTATTTGTCTTTTTCCGATCCCTACCCTATAAGAGAATCCATTACAAAGAAGGCAGCTATGCAAAATAAATTGCTCAAGGAAGCATGTGTGCACCATTTTACATGGGAGCGCACACAAAGCTATAAAAAGACAGGAGGGGTTATATCCAGGTCCACTGATTGCCATTTAGTGATTTTAGTCAAACCCAGAGGGCTTTTGAGTTTGATTCCCAGTCACTTGGATGGGTCAATGGCCATCAGAGCTAATTGTGTGCAATGACCTAAAGCCAGTAAAGGCCGGGGAAGCATCTTAGTTCACCTTGGGCTTCAGGGCTCTCAATGAGGTGCTAATCAATGGTTGGTTTCAGAGCATCGCTATTACTCTGCTTCAACCTTGTTCACTTCAAACCTTCATACAGAAATCATGTGAAGTTTCTCTGCAAGATGATCTCTTCTAGACTTTTTTCAGAGAAAAGCTGTTGAGTCTCAAGGGGAAATTTGAACAAGACAGGATTCTGTGTGCGCCAGGCAGCAGCATGTGGCCTGCCTGAGATATAGCAGAATATCAGCCCTCCAGGTTCAGAGCATGAACCTGCTGATACCAGTCTTCATGTCCAGCCCATGCCTTACACTGACACATAAGAAGAACATAGGAAACTCAAGGGCATTTTTTAAGATGCAGGAAATCAGGTTTGCTGCTCTTTACCCCTTGAAAGATGACAGCATTGACCATGCTAGTATAACACACATATGCAAAAAAAGTAGATTCTTGGGCATTTTTAAAGTGGATTTAGAGGTATGATATATGGATCTTTTTTGTCCTTAACATTCTCTATTCTGGATTTTCTCCTCTCAAACTTCAAGTCTTTCCAAGGAAAAAATGAATAACATTACCCAACTACAACACAAAAACTCTAGGAATACTAGAGCTAACACCCCTCCTTCTCTCTCTCTCTCTCTCTCTCTCTCTCTCTCTCTCTCTCTCTCTCTCTCTCACACACACACACACACACACACACCCTATGAAAACAAAACAAAACAAAAAGTTCATGGTTAGTTGGCTAGCTTAACTCAATATTGAGTAACCACTTATCCTAACTTTAAAATGAAAACAAGCTGCACACACTGTCTGCCTTAGTTGGCCCTGAAAAATGAATGGTGCTTACCTTGGACACAAAACATTCTGCTATGGCCACAGGATCATTTTCACAGTTTTCCAGATCTTGAAGAAGCTCACTAATAAAACAAAATACATAGTCACGAAGTATTATATTGCAGTCTTCAGGTTGAGCACATTTTATGGAACTTAAAGGTTTAAGCCTTCTTAATGGCATTTACAAGAAATTAGGTAATTGGGTCACAGAAAGTTCTATTGGCACCAGGTCCAAGGCTTAGATAAGACTTGCCCAAGGTTGTGGGTGGAGCAGGAGTTTAGAAACAGACTGGACCAGTAGTTTTCCCATCAAAGATATGCCCACATAAGAGTTAAGTTTTCCAGATATTTGTATTATTTGTAGCAAGATGGATGTAATTAAAGGGGGCTAACTAAAACCCGATCACTGTGACCTGAACACTGGGAGAGGGGGAGGAAGGGGAGGAGACAAAGAGGAAGAAAGGATGTGGCCTTTGGGGTTGGCATTCTCTTCTACTGAAGGGAGCATTGCACTGCCTGGAAGTTTTGTGCCTAGGCCTATCAATATCATTCTTCTCTCTGGGGAGCTAAGAATTTTCAGAGGATTCCTGAACGCTGTAATTCTGAACTTACTTGAAACATTCCTTGGCTATGAACAACTCCCCACACTCTAAATTCTAGGCTCCTAGCATTCTCTCCAAGCATTGATTTTATCTCGAGTGGAGTTGCTGGAGGATGAAGTGTCTTGGGGTCCACCCTGGCTCTAGGTGTTCCTCACCTATAAATGGATGACCAACATTCGCTGCTTGAGAACCACAGAGCTGGGAACATGGAGCTCCGGCAGTGCCAACCCAGCTTTACGGTGAGGAAATCACAGCCCATAAACAGAAAGCTGCTTATCTTAGATCACACAGATCATAACTGTTGGCAAAGCTATGCACAGAAGGAAGGTTCCTGAACCTTGCCTCTGTCCTCCATCAGAAGTGTAGCTACTGAAGGAGGCATTTTCTCAGCAAACTTAAGGAAGCTAAGTATGAGATTGTGTGCCCTGGAGTTTTCACAGGCCCACCTGGGAGACCATCTGGTGCCATCTGGCAATTTTTCCTTTAGAGCCTTTTACTTGGATAACATAAACACACTGTAAATGAGAATGGTAGGGGTTCTTTCTCTCATGTTCTTTCACGGGGGTTACTATCCAAACAAAACTGTGTGCTTGTTATTCAAAAGTGACTGGGAGACTTCCCAGTCGGGCTTGATGAGAGCCTCTGAGGTAAAGAAGACAAAAGACCTGCTATGATTCATGTGCCTATGCTCTGATCATAGGTGATCAATGTAAATAAAATAGCCAATACCACATGGTACCATGTGATCTGAAGTCACTAAGGAGGGGAAACCAAGGCAGGGTGGAATTGGTGGAGGGTTGGGTGGCCATAAAGTTTATTCTCTGAGTGGGTGACTGATAATTGAGGGCATGAAGAGACTTAGAAATCATTTAAGAAATGAGGTCCCAAATTCAAGGCAGAAATTGCTTGGAAGGTTCTTGTGTGAGATGTGGGAAGGAAGCCGTGGTGGCCGAGGTTGAAGAGTGGAGAGCGTGGGACTCAGGAAGACAGGTAGCTGGGAGGGATGTAAGAAAGACCGTGGGAGACAGCAGTGGCCTCAGCGCAGTAACCAAATGCCAGAAACAGGAATGGCCGCCCAGGATTACGTTGTAATGGACCAATGATCATAGACATGGCCACAGGGTAGCAGTGGGCAACAAGACAGGCATGTCCACAAGGGACAGTGTCGGAGATCGCTCTCACAGTTAAAGTTGGATTGCAGCCATCTTGCTTTCAGGATCTCGGCCTGCTCTCTTTTCCATGAGTAATTACTCTAAATCTGTCCACTCCTTTGAATGGGGTCACGAACAAGAAAATAATATCATTTCCTTCTGGAGCTCAGGGCCTCTGGACTTGCCCTAGTGGACAAATAGTGATAGCTTTGTTCTCTTTTAAGACCGTATTATATGTGATACTTTCTTTGACCACTGCTGTGAACCTGAAGGCAAGAACTGTATCACGGCTGCAAGCTCATACTACTTCATGTTGAATGAAAAACAGGTACGGGCTTCTCCTCTTCCTACTTGGCACAGGCTCCAGGCAATACTTCCTTTCCCCACACCTAACTAAGCCATTTTAATGTGTAACTTCGGAGACTCACGGTATACGGGAATGGAAATGTCACACTAGGCTCACTGATACACTAGACTTTTTGTTGTTGTTTATCTTATTTCTTTACTTAATTTTTTTGAGACAGGGTTTCTCTGTGTAGCCCTGGCTGTACTAGAACTCACTACTAGAAACATTAGCCTTGAACTCCAGTTGACAGAAAGAAGACTGTCCATATAAAGATTCTTACTATTCGGGGTATAAAGCTGGAAGTCATTGTGGTAGGTTGAAAATGTACTAAAAAGAAAATTGTCCTACCTCTCTCTGCCTTGTTATATGCTCCAATGAATTATTACATTAAAAAAACATAGCCCAAAGATATTATTTGACTTAAGACATATTTAGCTTATTTTATGAAGATTTCACTAGACTCTGAAAGAAAATGAACTGCATGATCCTCAGCCCTTCAAAGCCTCATGTCCATCCCTTGAGCATATGAGTTACTGCCCTGCTGTACAATGACGTCATCCACGTCTGAGTTGTAAGACATAGTCCAGCATTTTACACATAGTAAAACCTCAAAACAGGTATACCGAGTGAAGACAAAGATCCAAAGCAAAACGGAAACTTCTGCTTTGATGGTTTTTTATTTACCAAGCAACAATTTAGATATAAAAATTCAATTTGGAGGAACTGCCTGCATTTCCTCATGCTTCATCCTTAAGGAGAGATTCAAGTTGCAGCTTAGATGGCTTCTCTATTCCAAGAGAACTAGCATTTCTTTTCCCCTTTGGTTGGCATCATAAGTTTTTAAAAGCTTTGGGATTTTAGGGCTCATGTGGTTTGCTTCAACTAACCCGGTTTCTGACCATCTGGGGATTTATTCCAGACACCAAACCAGAGATTTCAGTTTCAGGGGTGGCGGGGCAATGGGGGTGGTTGTAGGGAGGAGGAGGGGGTGGGGATTACACAGTGAGAGTTGTGGCCACTAAGAAGCAGACCAAAGTGAAGTCTCAGCTGCATCTTGCGATGAGAGATTTAAAGGTTTAAATCTTACGATACATCAAAAAACAGAAACGAAGACAATGAAAGAACACGAATCATGCCACTATTTATGAAAAAGGAATGAGAGATCAGTACACAGATGTAGAAAGCATCCTAGGCAGGAGGAGTTTATTCTCATAATGGTGCATGCATATGATTCCAGTCAGAATTCTACTAACACAGTTCATTCAGCATGCATAGCAATATTAGGCAATATGCTAAGTTTGTTGAAGCCACACCCTGCATTCAGTCATGTCCAATATTCACAATATTCCCGATAAACTCTAGCAAAATGGAGACGCGTTTTCAGTGTCGTTATACTTAATTCGCAGTAGGGAGATGTTCCTGATGATGCCAAAATGAAGGTAAGGACGGTGACATTGTGGGAGAAAGCTGCTTTAAAGCAGTGGGGTTAGAGGAGGACACAGGGAAGAAGTGGAAAAGGAGACAAAAACAATCCCCCGTATTTCAGAATAACGCCTAGATTTCTAGAAGTGTCTACAAGCCATTGTTGGACATCATGGGGAACCCTGGAAAGGTTCCTTGGATGTGCCGATATAGATAAGAATCAAGAGCATTCCTTTTTTAGAGCACACAGTTAATTAAAAGAATAGAAAAATTTCAGACAACATAATGTCAGTATTTTAAGGCCTCTAGGAGTTAATTTTCAAAGCTACATGTTTCCACGTGGGAGAGAAGTTGTTAAATATTTTTATGTGACGTTTTAAAAGGTAGATGGGACCAGGTGTATATCTGTAATCCTGGGATGTAGGAGGTGGAGTCTGAAGGATCAGGAGTTCAAGGTCATCCTTGGCTATATAGCAAATTCTAGGCTGGGTTACATGAAATCCTGTCTCAAAAGCAAATGAATAATTGCTCAAAGAGATATACAGCTATTGATAGGATGTCGTGGTCATGTAAAGCTGTCTTTTTTAATATTAGATTTATAAAACTACCAACTGAGTACTGCATAAATTTTGAAAAACTAACAAACAATAACAAAATCACTGGTAGGGCTAAGTCAAGAGAAATTAAATCAGTGTTGAAGGGGAGCAAAGAGGCCTCCAAATGGGCATCATGGCACCAGCAGTTGGAAAGGAAGACTGAGGAGGATTCAGAGCCCAGACTCCTACACACACACACCCATGTAAACTTGGCATGCAAAGGACAGGAAATGCAACTTAATGTGGAGAGTTTGTGTATTTCAGTTAGTGGTGATGGGACCTTTGACTAGGCATGTGAAATCAGGACTTGGGTCTACTGACAACTACTACACCACCATCAGCTTCAGGCTAAGATTAAAAGCAAATATGAAAGGCAACATTTTAGGAGTGTTTGAAAAAAATAATATGCTTATCACCCTAAAATGGGAGATAATTTTTAAACCCAACCCCATGGCCTACTTTCAAAAGCGCATTTTGTGCTGTGAATTGTGAATTTATCTTCTGAGAAGCCACATTAAAGTTAAAAGACATGTCTTTTAGAAAAGCCGCTTGCACTCACATGGTCCACAGAATCGACAACCCACTCTTACAAAGCAATGAGAAAAAGAAAAGTCCCAACATGAGAGCAGGTGATGGATATGGCCAGAAAAAAAATTGCAGAAGAAATCTAAATGGCCAGGAAAAAAAAGAAAGAAAGAAAACAAAGCCCATTCTTATTGTAACTGGCCCAACTCAAAACACAGAGCCACCCTGAGAGGAGTCGCTTGGCAATTACATAAACTGGAGTACTTAAGCTCAAAAACGATGCTGAGTGACAAAATCTGTAAGAGTTTGACAGTATTTATGCCATGTATGAACCAAGGGGAAGCCAGCAACATTCAAATAAATATATATGTAATGATGGCAAAACTCCCACTCTGAGGCTGGGGTGTGTGGCTGGGTGGTAGAATACATATGTGTGTGATACGTGTGAGGCCCTGGGTTCCATCTCCAGAAACATTGGTACTATCACCACAATACAACAAAACAGGAAAAACAAACAAACCCAGCTTGTGAATGAAGCACTATATCGGATAGCAAGTTACGATGGAGCATGGATCCAGGTAAAGCTGGTTTATCTTAACTGATCCTGCATCTTCCCCATCCTTTCTTCAGTGGTGACATAGACTCTTGGCATCTAAGACATTTGTTTCTCCAGTTTTTAATATACGAGAGGACGATACACGAGTGGGAGTATTTATGGCTTATAACCCCATACGATTTCAACCAATTCCAGATTTCTCTCGCATTGCCATGCCAGAGAACTGGTTTACCAGCATGCGAGTGTATCACTCTACACACTGGAGAAGGGCATATACGAGGTTTTCAGTGAGATGTTTAATGTCTTTAAAATGTGAGGAATTTAAAAAGTAAATATGGTACAAAAGAGCTTTGAAGAAGCTGGGGTTTATTATATAATTCTATACTTTCCTGTGTTTGGGAAATACAGGTCAAGGGTTCGCTAACCCACATGCTTGGGACCAAAAGTGTTTTTGGCATTTGGAATATCTGCATAGACATAGTGCCCTCCTTCTCTTGGAGACGGGACCCACGTCTAAACACAGAATTCCGCTGTTTCATCTGCAGATGGTACATACAGCTTGGAGGTAATTCTGTACAGTTTTCAGAGGGTCTGTGTTATGACTGTGATGCATTACTCGAGGTCAGATGTGGAATTTTCAACTTGTGGCAGTGTTCAAGAACTTTCCAATTTGAAGCATTTTGGATTTTCAGGTTTAGATTTGCTCTATCTGTGTGTCTTAGAAAATAAAACCCATTCAGTTGAATCTTTCAGGTTAATATAATGCCCCTTTTTAATTTTGGAGACTTAGTCTTACCTATATTATATTATATTACAATGCTATGCTGAAAAATCTGGAATTAAACGAAAAATTAACAACAGAACTGTAGAGTCTATTATTATTTAAAGCTCTGTCATGATTTGCCAGACAGCTGCATCTTGGAAATCAATTGGAATGTCATTAAAGATGCATAGGCAGTGGCATAAAAGGTCACACTGATGTTCTTACTTAACCAACTATAGCAACCACAGGGTCACTTAAATTATAAATTTAGACTCGGAGATATAAGAGAACAGAAATCAAAACAAATGGGGACAAAACAAAAGAGATGATTCTACTGCATACAGCTGAGCATGGGAGTGAACCCCTATAACCCCTACACTCTGAACCCCTGTAACCCCAACACCCTGGAGGCTACCATACGAAGACTGTGAATTTGAGGACAGCCTGGGCTACACAGTGAGTTCAGGGCCAGCCTGCAATACATGGTGAGGCCCTGTCTCAAACAAAAAAAAACAAGCAAGCAAACCGCTAACCAACCCACGGCACCCAGATAATTCAACAGCAAAGTTAAACAACAGATACTTTTCAAAACAGAAGAAGACATTGGAAACAAATGAAAGCAGCGTCTAAAGTGGGTCAGGCTTGCGCTGCACCCTTGAACAGAGGACCTCCCAGTCTTGAAGGCTGACTTGTCACATATGAAATATGTGTGTCTCTCTGAAGAGCTGCTCAGAGGATTGAGGCACTGCATGAACGGTGACTACACAAACGTGGTCACCACAGCTGCTGGCATGAACACAATGGGTTGCCACTGTATGATGCACCCAGGCCTTGTATGTTCATCAGCACCAGGGATCCCTTCACTCTGACCCAGGGATATTTTAGACAGGAATGGCTTCCAGGGTCAACGGACATCCAACAGAAAAGAATGGAGGATGGATTCGGGAACAGAAAGGTCTTCCTAGTTATCCAGATTTTGTATAATGGGCCTCACTGCTGAGTCCCTTCTTGCCAATTCCCCTTTTTCTTTCCTTAGACTAGGAGACACACGGACATTTAAATTCCAAGGAGTGAAGAAAATCCCTCCTGAGGGTAGCCATAGCTTCCTGAAGTCCATAAAGGGCTTGAGGAGCTGGGGTCTGCTATGCAAGAGGGCGCGTGACTGAATGCACCCTGATGACGTACATGGGGGAATGATGCCTCTAAAGCTGTCTGGCCTCTGACCCCAGGGGAATATTCCTCAAGTACTTGTCATCACCACTTTACAGCCAAGCCACAGATGAGCTAGGGCAGGGACCTCTTAGCATCCAGCATCTTTCTGGGTCACGATGTCATTAGCGGGCTCTGTAAAGTGACGCTATCCCAGGACTCGTGGGATTGCTAAATGGGGGCCTGCATTAAAACCGACACATCACTGATGAGCGTGTGGCTTCTGCAGTTTTTGATGTGTTTTTCACCATCTTACTGCTGGGGTGGTTTATCCAGATAGTGTTTCTATGCTGTGGCCCCACATCATAAAGACCTGAAGGCCAGCTAGAAAGTTGTGATTTTCTGGTCCCCTCCCAGACCAATGAGTCACTTTCCAGAAGTAGGATCCACACATTGCTCTTAAAAATAATGTTTTTATCTATTTTTGTTTTAGAATTTCATATAGTATACTTTGATGAGATTTTTCCACTCTCCTAACTCCTTCCTGATCCCCTGTCAAACTCCCTACCAACCCAACGTCACGTTCTTTTTCTCTTGTGAAAACAACAAGAAGCCCCGAGGAGTCCAATTTGTTCTGGTTGACTACTCCTGAGCACTGGGCCACCCGGGAATGTGATTGATATACCTTGTGTCACTCCATTGAAGAAAACCAATTTTCTGTCTCCCAGCAACTATTGGTTTCAAGTAGCTTCTTGGTGAGGGGTGGGCCACCATGTGCACTTCCCTTCCATGCTTGGGACTTTATGTGGCTTGAGCTTATGCAGGTCTAGTGCGTGCTGTTCATGGTCTCTCTGAGTTCATATGTGTATCAGTCCTGCTGCGTCTGGAAAACGCTGTTTCTTTGGAGTCATCTGCCACCTCTTGCTCTCACAGTCGTTGTGTCCCCCTTTTATAAATTCTTGAACTTTTAAAGGAAGGGTATGATGCCATTTAGGCCAGATATTGCTTGTTCTTATGTTTTGAGACATGGTATCGAGGAGCCTAGGCTGAGCTTGAACTCACAATGTAGCTGAGGATGACCTTCTTCTTCTGATCCTCCTGCCTCCACAGGTGAGCCCAGCACCCATGGTTTTATTTGGTGCTGAGAGTACAACCTAGGCTTCAGGTGTGCACGGCAAGCCATCTACCAACTGTATACCCTCATCGTGTTTTTTAGGGAGCGCTTCCTGGGTGCCTCAGTGGGTGGCTCAGGAGGACGGAGGAGAGGCATGGGTTCCGAAGACACAAACCAGTTCTCAGAGTCTACAAGGTCAAGCAAGTGAAACCCTGGGGTAGCCTTGGTGTTCCCTCTGAGCTAGATGGTCAGGATTGGCGAAACCAGCCTCCTACAAGTCAGGCTGGTGCTAAATAGCAAGGAACCAAAAAGACAAAGGAGTCGCAGATCCTGCCTCTAAGGAGCTCATCTTTATTGGCCCGAATAAACAATTTATAACGTTCTTACATGAGAAATACCTCGTGTGTATTGACTTACCTATTGAAGTGGTAGATATCCTGTATGTTTCCAAAAAGAGCAGCCCTATCTTCAGTCCCCAGGGGAAGTTTTGTTTGGTCCCGGATGCATGCAAGGTAATCCTGTGAAGACAATGAGAAGGAGACCTTAGGACTCCTGATCTTTTCTAAGACTTTTTTAATATGCAAGATGAATCATTGGCATCTATTTCAAATAATTATGATACTAATGTGCTCATTACCTCTACCACAGACTACAGACAGATGTTCTCTCATTAATGAGTATGATACTTACTTATTAAAGAGCGTGGAGTTGTAGCTAGGAGAAAGAGCATGGCCTATATTAAAGTGTCCTCCATTACCCCAGTCCATCAGAGCTTCCTTTTCCAGATTCTGGCCACAGTGAGAACAGAAAGTTTGGGCAGGGTATTTCCTATGTCTTTGAATGATTTATATGATTATGTCTCAGGGAATAGCTCAATTGGAACGTGCTTACTGTGCAAGCGTGAGGACCTGAGGTCAAGCCCTGGAACCAACATGGAAAAAGCCCATGATGGTGACACACACTCGTAATCCCAGTACTGGGGAAGTGGAGACAGACAGATCACTGGAACTTGCCAATTGGCCAATCAGCCTAGTTTATTCAGTCCCAGGCCAAGGAGGACCCTGTCTCAAAATCCAAAGCAGAGAGAATTTGAAAAGTAATACCCCAGGTTGTTCTTTGGGTCCCACATGTTCTCTCATACACATTTGAAGTTTATATAGTGGAAAATCAGAAATAAAAATTCAAAGTGTGATAGGGTTGTTTAAGACAAATCTTTAAGGTATCTGATACTTACACATAGAACCAGATCCATGCCAATTCAGGAGGGTTTAAAGAAATAAGCACAAAACTCACTTTTGTTAAGTGTGTTAAGTTAGATTAATGAGCCACGGGGAATGGAAATAATTTTATATGTCTAACACTTACATGGCTCTTAAATACATCCTGCATCAGTCAGACCCATCGAGGGTTAAGCCAACACAGCCCAGACATTGTCTGGATAGTTGAGAGAGGGGACACTTGTATTCTGCTCCCTATGTGTTCAAGAGTTCATAACTCAATTTTCCCCTCTCCCACCATTGCTGAAGAATGGACTCAATGGAAAGCAAGGGCAGACTTGAAAAAAAAAAAGTAAAAACAGCTGTAACAAGGTAAAATTAAAAAAAATACAGTCCCCTCCCCAGAACTGTGCATTGTAGCTCCATTGTCTTCCAAGTTCACGATGTGATCTGCAGGCATTGGGGGGCAGGTACGCTACAACACTGGGGCGAGGGTACACGTGCAAAGTAACAGGGCCCACAGGGCCCACAGAGCACAGCTCCGCACTATATCCCGCTTTCCAGCACAAGATGGTTCACAGAGTAACTCACTGAAGAAGCTGGGCTTTCACGGCCATCAGCTGCTCATTCCCTGTGCCTTCTCCTGAGCCACACCTGTCCTCACCCGTTCCGTCCCTCCTCTAAAAAGCAGAGGCCTTGCTGCTAGCTTCCTAAAGTAGCACAGGTCACTGTCTACACCAAATAGGCTTTCATTCTGGTCCCTTTCCTCCTCAAAGTATCGCCGCACACGTCTTTCATTATCTTTTAAAGCAGGCTTTGCTGGTCACTGCTCTTCTTTTCCCCTGCCTCCTTCCCTCCCTGTCTCCACCTCTCCCTCCCTGCCTTCCTGGAAGTGAACATCTCATAAGAAAGCAGGCTGACAAGATTTCAGTGTAGTTGGCTGGCAACCCGCCCCCCAACCCCTGCAAGCTAAGCTTATTATCACTATCATGAGAGGGTCATTGGCGAGGAAGTTATGCGTGTGCAGGGGAGTTAATGTCTAGCCAGGAGCAGCTATGCATGACAGAACTGGAGCAACAGCACATTTAGAACAGCGTGTACAACCTGTTCTTCATCAAGAAGCATTCATTGAGAGCTAACGGGATGCTTCAGTAGGTAAAGGCACTTGTTATCAATCTGGTGATGACCGGAGTATGCCACCCCCCACCCCAGAACTCACAAGGTGGAAGGACAGAACCAACTCCCATGAGTTGTCCTCTGATCTCCACACCCAGGCCATGGCATGTACTCCTCCCCAAAGAGATGCCAAACAAAACTGATATTTTTGTTAAATTGCACGTGGCACGTAAAAATGGTCTAATACTCAGTTTCATGACGTGCTTCTGTTTGATAGTAGCTTAGTATGTCATTAGATGCTTAAAGATCTTTATGACTTCTCTCTCTCTCTCTCTCTCTCTCTCTCTCTCTCTCTGTGTGTGTGTGTGTGTGTGTGTGTGCTCCACACAAGTGCAGGTGCCTAAGGAAGCCAGACATGTCTGATTCCCCCTAGAGCTGGAGCTGGAGTTACAGGCGGTTGTGTGTTGCCCAACATTGGTGCTGGGTCTAAACTTGGGTCCCCTGGAAGAACAGCAAGTGGTTTTAACTACTGAGAAACCTTTCCAGACCCTAACTGGACATTTTCAAGGAATATTTTGCATGTAAAATTAAGGAAATTGAGCCAGAGAACCTGGCCCATCCAACACATCAAGCTGAGAGGTACAGCTGGGATGGTGACTAGATGTTAGAGTCACATGACTGGCTACACAGGCTGAGAATGAGAAGCCCAGTTGCAATCCTTGAAGAGTTTCGTCTGGCATTACAGACGAAGCCTGTGGCTCCCTTTCAAAACTCTGTAGTTTGAAACTGTGGGAGTTTATGGCAGAGACCCTGTATTTTAAAAGCTGCTTGCTTTTCTGCCATTGCCGAGAAAATAGGCCATTTAGGAGTCCAAATTTTTTGTAGGTCATTCTAGATAACAGATCAAAGCTGTATGGCCACAACTTGTTCTCTGCTCTGACCATAATTAAGTATCTTAAATAGGAGACATTAACCCTGAACCAGTTACTGGAAACTACTGTAGCATGTACTGCCCTGGCAGCTGTAATCATCCCTAGCCGAAATGAGAGGCTGGAAGCTCAGCCTAATAACAGTTCACTCTGTGCTCAAATGACAGAGCGAGGACATCAGTGAACCCCACGAGGGCCCATCACGCTGCCCATTAAATTCATTGACTTCGTGTCTGCACCTATGGCTATCATATGGCTCACAACCAACCCATAGATGATGTCTACACTGGAAAGAATTCTTGGATAAAAATTCTTCACTCTGCTTTGGGGGCAGGAGCAAGCAAGACAGGGACATTCAAAAGAGGCCTTTCTGCCACTCAGTTTCCCTTCCGATATTTAAAAATCTGCTTTGAAGTATCTAGTTTTTAAGTAGTTTATGTCCTTAAGATCTCCTTCATTGAATAGGTTGTACATGACTGCCCTTCTCTGGCTTCTTGTTTGAAAATATCTAAATCGAGTCTGTCTTGGTGCCCGTTGAGGTGTGGGAGTGGGCAGGAGGCAGCTGGTAAACTCACAACGATGTAAAGGCAGAACCTGAAGAGGTATGTTGACACCTTGATATGAGTTTGATTATATGTTGGCGGATTAATAAATCTGTTTCTACAACTGGTATGTGTTTTTAATTTTTTAAATTACTTTTACTTTATGTGCATGAATGTTTTGCCTGCCTGCGTGTCTATGCACCCCACACAGGCCTGGTGCCCTCGGAGGTCAGAAGTGTGCATCTGATGTTCCATGGACCTGTCCTTACAGGTAGTTGCAAGCTGCCACTTCAGCCCCACAACTGGCATAATTACTTTACAAAAGCAATAGTGAGTAACAATAGCTACAACACAGCACACACACACACACACACACACACACACACACACACACACGCACACACACACACACATGCACACCAGTTGGGGAAATCCTGTTCTAGATAACAGTGCTGCAAAGACACATAAAGGGTGTTATGGAAAATTCTACAGAGATCACTGGGACAATTTCTCCAAGATGCTTGAAGAAATGTAGCTACTGGGTCCTCTGACCTGTCTTTTCTTTGAGATCATGTTTTAAAATGTTATAACCCACCTAGTCCTCACTAGCGATAAGCCACAAGGAAAAAATAGCTGTTTACATTAAAGATAGCTAGAGTGCCTCTCAATGTTTTAGATGCATTTCCTCCTGCACTCTTTTCAGCTTGGAGACAATCCCACTGTGGAAAGGAAACTGGAAACATCTTTCCCTACCCTCTTGCTTATATATCCCCTCCCACACACTGGATTTCTGTGGCACTTTTTGGTTTAGCTCCTGCTGTTAGCACTTTGCACGCTAGAGCTCTTACAGCTTTCCTTTTCGATGAAGGTGGGGGTGCTATTCTTTAGTTTGGAGAAAGCATCTTCTCCGTTTCCCTGAAGCCATCACTGGCCACCACCTGGTGCTGAGTTGGGGTTCCACTGAAACGAGGATGACCTATATTTGCATATCCATGTACAGTATAAAAGCACACTCACCTCCACCCAGTCCCCTCCTGCCTGCTCTTTCTGAGGGCATTAAGAGTGGGTGCCAAGTTCTGTTGTTTACAAGCTAGGAGTTTACAAACTGAATCATACAGATCCCTTCCTTCAAGGAGCTCCCTCCCTGGCTTGCTGAAAATGTGTCAACAGACAGGTCCTGTGTCATGCTGGCTAAATGGCTGATAAGTGTCCAGTAGAGAAGGACCCACACATTCAGTACAGAAGGCAATGGCACCCAAAGGCAGGAGTGCTCAGTTCCAGGAAGGGATTATAACCCTTGGAAGGAGAGAAGATCTTTTAAGGAGACACTTGTGCTACCAGACTACTGAAAAACAGTGGACCCCAAAGGACCAAGCTCTTGCTGGACTTCCATGCTAGGGAGGAGAGAAAGGCTGAAGCTCTGGTGCCAGCCAGAGGAGGACCTTGTCCCCCAGGAGGCTCTCATCCCAAAGCTGGATCAATGATAGCAAAGACATACTTTGAGTAGGACATACCCATTGCCCTCCATGCTCCCTGGGGGATTAGCATCATTGAACCCCTTTATTGGTTCTTCGTCCCAATGTCCCCACATTGGATAAGCCTAGTTTCCCAGCTTTTCACTATGACTTGTTGTAGGTGCAGTTTTCCTGTCACAACAGTCAACTCTCCAAATAACCACGCAGAGACTTATTATTAATTACATGATGTTCTCATC